CATCTCTTAAAAAAAAAAAAAAAAAAAAAATTCCAACATAAGACTTGGAGCGGCCAAGCAAACCACAGCATAAAGGTTTAAAATCTGAAGTGCCTGGTACATAAAGGCCCTTGATCATGATTGATTCCCTTATTCTTATTTTTCTTCTACTAGAGAAGCAAAGAGGTGGAGAGTCACCTGTGTGCCCTCTGTTCTCAAGATGGCCACCAGCCCCAGGCACTCTGTTGAGTATCCTGTGAGAATGCTGGTCACTGATTGAGCGATTCACAGCGTGCAACAAAAGGTTCTGGTATTTCGACCTAAAACCACTTTATGAAAAAGTATTGTTTTCCAAATACACCTCAGAAGAATACCTCCATCTTCCTCGTGGCAACAGTAACCACTGTGTGGCTGGACTCTCCAACCAGGAAAAATAGGAGTTGGCTTCGACTTCAGTTTTCCCATCCCCCGGTTCATTGCCAACTTTATTTTTTAATTTTTTTAGAGATGGGGTTTCTCCATATTGGCCAGGCTGGTCTCGAACTCCTGACCTCAGGTGATCCGCCTGCCTTAGCCTCCCAAAGTGCTGGGATTACAGGTGTGAGCCACTGCACCTAGCTCATTGTCAACTTTTAAACTGATTTTGAGGGAGGAGAATGAGGCATCTGATGAATTAGGTTATCTTTTAATTGAATTCAAACTGTTAGGTGTAGAAAACTTAACAACTGGTATCCTGGAGGTTGAGAACATTTTTAAACATATTATAGTTAATATTAAATGTTTCCAAATTTAAAATCATCTTAGCTACATGAAGGAGAGATATAATTTAATTTTGGTTGCCTAGGGAGTTTCATCCACTTGAAGGATTACATACTTGACCCTGTGCCTTCTCATTTCCTACAAGAACAAGTGAGTCCTTGGTCACAGGGAAGCAATGCATGGAACAGGTGCGGTGCCTGCCACCATGAGTATGAGTCCACCAGCAATCAAAGCCAAGGTTAATACAGCTCCAAGTAACTAGAAAGCCCAACAAATTAGTCTTCTACTTAACTGAATCGGTCTTACTATTTTGAGGGAATATATTTTTCATTCCATTAGCCTACGTATTGTCTCTGGCTTTTGTGTCCGACTCTCTCTAAGGCTGTGAACTCTATGGGTAGGGACCATGCTTTCCTCCTCTTTTTGCATCCCGTGATGATTCAGGGGCTTTGCTTTTGGTTTTCATTTAGTTTCCTGGTAAGAGTTCCTTAGGAGGAGAAGAAAAAAGAGAGTAGAATGAAAAGAAAGAGGGAGAGGAGGGAGGGAAAGAAGGAAGGAAGAAAGCAAGAGAGAGAAGGAGGAAAAGGAGGGAGGGAAGGCAGAAAGAAGGAATGCTGCTTTGTCTCAGGCAGACTAATGGGAAAGCGATTTTTCCTTGCCAACCTCCTTCAAGGGCATGAGAGGTATCTCTGTGACCCTGCGGCCAGGCCAACCTTGAATTCAAAAATCCTTGGAGCTGAGGGTATAAAGTAGGAAGAATCGCCCCAACCCCCAGGGCTGCAGGGCCTTTGTCGGGCTGCTGGCACCTCCCCTGTGGGAAGGACCTCTGCTCCTCTGTTTTTTTTAATTAGCCATTATTTGTGCTATTCTTCTCCATCCTTAGTTGGCATGAGAGTTTTTACACTATTTCTTTTTCATATTCTGCTACAAATGAACTCTACACATTATTGGAAAGGTTAGGGCTAGGATCAGAAGTCAAATTTAGGTTCACACATGCTAAAACTTCAACAATTCACATTTCACCACTTCTAACCAGGAAGGTGCTATTGAAATCATTGATTGCTGTCATTTGTTGCTATAATCCAATGGGTGCATTTTAGTTTAAAAGGATATGCCTCCTTTATCTCCTCAAGGTCTCAGACAGTCTCTGAGTAAACTCTCTGCCAACTCCTGAGTCACTCTGAGGGTAGCAGATGTGCAGGCTCAGTCTGGGGTTTGCAGTCCACCCCACATACTCCCACTTGCCCTTGGCATTGGCCCCATGGGTGGACCATGGAGGAGGGTGCTCTATGGCAACAGTTTTCCTTCAGCAGAGTGGAGAGGGGGAGACTTGTTCTGCCGTGCCCATGTTCAGTCTTTTCTGTGGGTAGAGTTCTGGGAATGTGCTTAGCCCAAATCAATGCCAGCCTGGCAGTGGGTGTAGGGCCAGCGAGGTTTGTGTGTGGCTCATGACCTTAGGGAAAATGAGATTTTACTCCTGTAACCTCCTGCCTGGAGAATTTTACACCCCTGTTTCAGATAGGTAACAACTTTCTTGAAGCTTTCAAGAATGAAAATAAAAACTTTAAAGTACAGGTTGCCAGAACGTCCTTCCTGGTAGCTAACTTGAGCGCTTTGTGCTTATTTTATTTTGGCGACCCCCCCCCTCCGACCCGGGAGCATGTGCACCTGACACGATAACCTTCCACCAAACCGGGGACCTCTCAGATCTCGGCTTTTCAGAACAAAGACTTTGGATTTCCTTGGCCTTTCATCATCATCTTATCACCCAAACCTTTCATTATCTTTTTCAATTTTTCTTTGAACTCTTTCCAAAACTTGTCTTTTGAGTTAGAGAGACCATAACTTAATTAGATCTTTCATTTCCAGAGGATACTCCTAGTACCTCGGAAGAAATAAATTAAATTTCAGTCGGATATATTTCATTGGGGGAAGGGTGTAGAAAAAAAGAAATTGGATTCGTTATATAAATAGCACGTTGTCTGGTGCCACAAATGAGTTTTCCTTTTCCCAGTTGTTTTTGGAACAATGGGTCCTTTTTTGATGACTTTAATTCCTCAGAGATTCTAACCTCTAAAAGGTCATGATTTGTGTTCTTTTGTGGGTACATGGCTTCTATACTGAGAATAAGCAAGATGTGTGGCCTCCAATTGGTAAGTCATGAGGAAACAGACAAGGCTGCAACTAAGCACCTTGTCAAAGCGTGGGAATGAGCGTGTGTGGGTGTCTGTGCTCCTAGCCTTTTCTGCACCAGCTGTTCCAAGGGGAGCAGAGGGGGCTGTCTTGCTTCTCCGTAACTTTGTCTCCCTGTAAGTAAACTTGTCTTTTACAATGCTGTTCTCATTAGCTGTGCAGACTTCCTCATACTGATCATTTGGTATCTGTGCAGAGACTTTCATGGGGGAAGGGACAGTCTTTAACTTATCTTAAAACCATCTCTCTGTGGAGCAGAACAACAGAGACTAGCCTTTGCTCAGCCATCACTCCAGTCAGGCTGCTTAAAGCATATTTCGTCACTTCTTTCCACCTGGCTTTTGGCTTGTGTCAAATGAAGAAGTTGGGATCTCTGAGGTCCCTTCCAATCCAACCCTGCGATTCTCACAGCATCGGTCATCTAGTTGTTCCATAGAAGGGTAGGGCAAGGAAGGAGGGGGTGGGTTTAGCAGCCAGTTGGGGAAAGGATGCTTGCAGAGAGTGTCAGTGTAACTCAGATTCCCACTCATCTCTTCTCCCTCCCAAGGATCCTGAATCAACTTAGTGTGAAGGGACAAGAAAGAGCACCTATTGATCACCTATGATAGGTCAGACGCTGTCTAAGACTCCTTCTCTACACTGGCTCATTTAATCTTTACATCTTACTATAGAATAGATCTACCAGGTGTTTTCCACCTCAGCAACCACCACATGCCCATCCACCCCACCCAGATATGTCTACACCCTCAGATTTCACTTGAAATGTTCCATCCTTAGTGCAGCCTTCCCCAGCTGCTCAGACCAGGTTAGAACTCCCTGTCCTATGTTCTTATGTTCCCTATGCTTTCCCTCTATTACACTTAGCACCAATGTAATTAAGTAATTATCTGCATAATTAATATTTACATGCCGACTCCACAGAAAACTCCTTTAGGGCAGGGATAATGTAAATCTTGTTCATTACTGTATCCTAGAGCCTAGCACAATGCTGGCAACAGACTTGAGATTCAGTAGACGTTTGCTAAATAAATGTAAGGGTGAATGCATGAATGAATGAAAGGATGGATGAATAGCAAAGCTGGATACGAATTCAGAACTATCTGACTCTTGGAAACGGTGTATAATTTCAAAAGAGCTCCATTTGTAAGCTTGTACACAGGGTCTCACTGCTCTAACCAGCCTGTGGATACTTAGCCACTGTTAGTCATGCTTTGAGTTGTTTCTCCAGAAGTGGGAATGATAGCTACACTGCTCTGGCCATTCCCTTTAACCCAGTGATACTCGTCCCCAAAGATGTCTGTAAAATACTCGGAGATGATGGATCCAGTCTGGTGGTGGTTGGAAGTGGGTGGTGGGAGGCAGTGAACTGATCCAAACTAATTGTCCTTGTGAGCATGTAGCCCTATGTCTTAATAATATTTAGCAGCAGCCTGGGAAACATAATGAGACTCTGTCTCTACAAAAATAAAAAAATGAGCCAAATATGGTGGCATGTGTTTGTAGTCCCAGCTACTTGGGAGGCGTAGGCAGGAGGACTGCCTGAGTGCAGGAGGTCGAGGCTGCAGTGAGCCCTAATCACATCACTGCACTCCAGCCTGGGTGACAGAGTGAGACCCAGTCTCAAAAAAAAGAAAAGAAAAAAGAAAACCATCAGCACCACTTCTAATACATTCTGCCACAGGGGCTGAAAACAAGAGTCTGCTCTGTCGGGGATCTGGGTCAGTAAGAACGAGTGGGTGAAGAGGAAGGAGGAAAAACCAAGACACGACAACCTTTAGAGAAGCAGAAATAAAACCCTAATGTGGAAACTGCCGAAAATAGACTGCCTGGGCTGTCAGACTGCATGCAAATCTGATGCTAATTACATGGAAATTAATTACAAGTCCTAACTTCCATATGCCTTGATATGACCCTTGGGGGAAAACCTGCGGCAGGTGTCTGCCCCCCACCACAGAGGAGTGAGTGGAACAACAACTTCAATGTCGCCTCCTTCACGCTCAGCTCTTGCCACTGCAAGGCTGAGAGGAGGCTAAAAATACTAACAATAGAAATTTGATTTCTTCTTTCAGACAAAAAGCCTTGGCATCCACGGGAGGAAGAAGTGTTCAGGCAGCATGTGACTGGTTGGTATGAGATAAATAAATTGAGAAAATAGTGTATGATTAACTCTGAGTGCATGTGGATGAGTGGGGAGGTGCAGGCTTTCTCTAATGGACCCCAGAAGAGACAGGAGCCAAAAGACTGTATGAAGCTCATTTATCAAGTCAGTTGCCTCCTCTGCTCTAGCCTCAGGGTATGTTTCTCCTTGGAGCTGTTTAAAGAAAATTCTAATTCCCAGGTCGAGCCCCCCTCATAAGATCTGCCCCCATCTAGTCACTTGGAGATTCACTTTAGGTGTATGGATATTAGGCAAATCAATTTAGAAAAGTACCCTACTTACCTTCCAGGCTATCCCTACCCAGACTGGATCCCAGAAGGTTGCCATTCTGGGAGCTTTGTCTTTGGAGGGACCTGGGTTTAATTACAGGCTGACCAGAGAGACAGTCTGGGTTGGTCCTAGTGGATTGGGAAAGGATTTGAAGTTGATCCAAGCATGCTTCTTGGAGAGTGGTTTTAGGACTTTTTTAGGGAGTTGTAGGATGAGTAGGCAATATGACAAGAAGGAAGACAGAAGTTGCTGCATCTGAGAGTTGGTTATAAAGTGTGAGTTTCCAGACGTAGATTTTTAAATCATGAATGAAAACCCTTCCCTGCGCTGTGCTGAAGGTTTGGAGCACATGGAGGGTGGATTTGTCTCTCAGTTCTTTTTTCCCTCCCATTATTCTCAACCGACACCTTGTTGGCTCACTTCTGTCTTACAGGTTATTCTCCCACGTCGGTGACCCCTTCCTGGATGACCCCCTGCCCCGGGAGTACGTTCTCTACCTCCGTCCCACTGGCCCCTTAGCACAGAAGCTTTCGGACTTCTGGCAGCAGTCGAAACAGATCTGCGGGAAGAACAAGGCCCACAACATCTTCCCCCACATCACACTCTGCCAGTTCTTTATGGTGAGCAGCAGCTCCCCCACCCCTGGGAAACCAGGCTCCCAGGATCCCAGCCGGCCCTTTAGACCTGAAACAAAGCTGGAGCCTCGCAGGAAGATGGAAGGAATAGTCATGGGTTCCTAGAGCTGGAGGGACCTTCAAGGGATCAGTGAGTGCCACAATGAGCACCTCACCCCAACGCTTCCTAGTCTTATCTACGAGGCCCAGGAGCACCCCAGGATGGGGCAGCACCATGATTGCAACCCTCTGTGAGAGACACACTGGTCTGGCTGCTGGAAGAGAATCACTGATCTAGCTTCACCCCTGTTTGCTGTCTATCTTCTCCACTCTTACAACAAGCAAAGAGCAGGAGCTAAGAGCAGGGAACAAAAGGGGAGTCTATAGACAGGGAAAGCCATTTCCTGTCTATAGGTTTTTTTTTCCTACTATATCTTTCTAGAGAAAGCAAAGATATTTACCTGCCATTGTTACCTAGTCTATAATCCTAGATGTCAAAAAGCTTATCTACTGGCAATTTTTTTTTTAAGAAAGTCTCACTCTGTCACCCAGGATGGAGTTCAGTGGCACGATCTCGGCTTACGGCAACCTCCGTCTCTCAGGTTCAAGCAATTCTCCTGCCTCAGCCTCCCAAGTAGCTGGGATTACAGGCGTGCACCACCACACTCGGCTAATTTTTGTATTTGTTTCACCATGTTGGCCAAGCCGGTCTTGAACTCCTGACCTCAAGTAATGTGCCTGCCTCGGCCTCCCAAAGTGCTGGGATTACAGGCATGAGCCGTCGCGCCCAGCCTCTACTAACCAAATACAATCCCCCTCTCTATCACACATGTAAATACATTTTGTCTACTTCAACTCTCTGTGGTAACAGAGAAGAGTTGATTTATCTCCATATATTCAAGATAAAACAAAGTGATAGCATTTTAAAACATTTTGATAAAAACTATTTTGCTTTTTCCCCCAGATATATTCTCTTTTTTTCTCGTTCTCAGGTAATAATATGTTCCTAACACCTTCTCTCTTACCATTCACTCTGAAAATTAAAGTGACTGTCATTTCCTCTTAGTCATCCCAGGTTCTTTCTCAAAATGCTTCAGAGTTTGAGAGACATGTATTTTTTTTTCCAATGCTCTCAGGAAGGTAGGAGGATGATGTCACAGCTCTCTGGGACTCATTCTTCCCAACTATCATGAGGGTGGATGTAGAGTCAACTTCTGATCGTCTAAGAGGAAAAGAAAAGGCGCAGATGATACAAAACAGTAGAAAACGCGCAGCTTCTCCTGGGATGCTGTGCTCTCTCCTGTCACCGTCCTTCATTCATTTATTTATTTCACAAGGAAGAAGAACTTTGATTTTTTTTTCTTTTTTCTTTTTTTAATTAAGACAGTCTCACTCTGTCACCCAGGCTGGGGTCCAGTGGCGTGATCTCGGCTCACTGCAACCTCTGCCTCCCAGGTTCAAGCGATTCTCCTGCCTCAGCCTCCCGAGTGGCTGGGATTACAAGCATCCACCACATTGGGCTAATTTTTGTATTTTTAGTAGAGATGGGGTTTCACCATGTTGGCCAGGCTGGCCTCGAATTCCAGACTTCAAGTCCTCCACTCACTTTGGCCTCCCAAAGTGCTGGGATTATAGGCATGAGCCAACATGCTCAACCTGATTATTTTGTAATTGATAAAACTTGTATATCTTTATGGTGTATACCATGATGGTTGAATATATGTAAGCATGTGGAGTGCCTAAATCAAGCTAATTTTGATTAGCTTTAGTCACTACCTTGTACAATAGGGCTTTTGAACTTATTTCTCCTCTCTAACTGAAGTTTTGCATCCTTTGACTAACATCTCCCCAATCTTGCTCCCCGGTCTTACTTTCTGCTCGACCACTCCGACAGCATTTTGGCTGGGTTCACAGGGGCCACTTCAGAGCAAGGAAAGGAGGGAAGAGGTCATGCGTTCCCCATGTTCATCCACCAGTTGGGTAATCTGTGTCTGAATAATTGGGAGTCTGCAGTTCCTCTCTCCCGCCACAGACGGGTGATGGTTAAGAAATTGCATTATCAGCCTCCTCTAGTCTCTGGGGAGAGGATACCAACGTTAAGTAGCAGCAGACCTCCAACTCCCCTTGTCTCTGAGTGAAGACTGCCTGTTTTCCCTGCCAGTGCGAGGACAGCAAGGTGGATGCCCTGGGGGAAGCCCTGCAGACCACTGTCAGTCGCTGGAAATGTAAGTTCTCGGCCCCACTGCCCCTGGAGCTCTATACGTCCTCCAACTTCATCGGCCTCTTTGTAAAGGAAGACAGTGCGGAGGTCCTCAAGAAGTTTGCTGCTGACTTTGCTGCAGAGGCTGCATCCAAAACCGGTGAGCAAACAGCTGCCAGCCCAGCCCTGGGCCCTGTCAATCAAAGCGTTAGAAAGGAAAAAGGATAGGAAATGGTGGTGGAGGAGCAGGATGGGGTTAGGAGGTGGAAGGCCCTGCAGGAATGGGCACGTGTGACAAAAACCAGGCCTTTTCTTGCAACCCCACACCTTTTTCCTCCCTTGTAAAATGTTCACTTCTCTTCTGCTAATGTTTGGAGAGACAGACTATCTAAGGCTTATTCCCTAACACCCAAGCTGAAGTTTAACAAATGACTTCCACACTGAACTAGAAACATACTCCTTTGTAGCACCACCATCTCCTCCTAATTCAGAATTAAAGAACCATCCTTTCTCCCTCCCAAGCTCCCACCCACATAGATGTTTATCTGGGTCTCACTGTTCATTCCACGAGAGTCCAACCTTTTCTCAGTGGGTTAGAGGAGAATGGAAGCACTTATTGTATCACAATAAAATCCACTGAGCCAATATCCTTCAAAGTTGCTGAAAACCATTAGACAGGATCCTAAGCCTCCATCGTCTGTTCAAAAATGTAACTCCTTCCAAATGTCTCCTCTTCTTCTCATGGGAGCTCTTAGTTTAGACCAGCTGAGATTTTCTGCCAAAGGAATTAGCTTAAAGGTGTGCTTGAGGCAGGAGATACACCAGAGGTGACAAGAGGGAGAAGTGTGCAAAGCTTTCCTGTCTGACTACAGCTGTGGACAAGCTCACTTAGCTCAATGACAGCAGAGAAACAGACAGACAATCTGGTGGGGGACAGGCTCTGTTGAGAGAATGCAATCACAATCGCCAATTACTGGTCACCTACTAGGAGGATTCCTTTTACATGAGGAGTGCCACAGAGAAGAGAATAAGACGTGGTTTCTCCTGGCCAGGCCCTGTGTAACATCAGCTCTGAAAAGGGAAAGGGGTGGCCCCCCCTTCACAGAAGGAAAGAAACTTGCTCTGGGAAGATATTGATCAGGACAATGTAGGAAAGGCCTGCAGGCAGGCGGGTGGCAGGAGCACAGGCAGGCATGAGAGGGTGTGAGCAGAGGATAGTGGGGAGGCTGCCCTGACCAGAATGGACGGTCCAGGGTGCACAATGGAAGCCGAGTGCTTAATGCAAAGCTGGAGGAGACCTAGAACTTCCCTACCCCTAATTTTTTTTTTTTTTTTTACGGAGTTTCGCCCTTTTTGCCCAGGCTGGAGTACAATGGCGCAATCTTGGCTCACTGCAACCTCAGTCTCCTGGGTTCAAGCGATTCTCTTGCCTCAGCCTCTCAAGTAGCTGGGACTACAGGCGCATTCCACCAAGCCTGGCTAATTTTCTGTATCTTTAGTAGCGACAGGGTTTCACCGTGTTAGCCAGGATGGTCTTGATCTCCTGACCTTGTGATCTGCCTGCCTTGGCCTCCCGAAGTGCTGGGATTACAGGTGTGAGCTACAGCACCTGGCCCCCTACCCCATAGTTTATGGAGTGCCAGAGAAGGGGAAGACCTGAGCAAAGCCATACAGTTTGCTCCTTAGTCTCTTGGCCTTTGGCCTATACCTTACCTGCCATTGTTCCCTGCTGCTGTTTTCATCACCAGCTCAGGCCCTTCGTTCCATATTCCTCTTTACCAGAAAAGCCCCACTCAGGGCTTGGACCTATGAGTATGATCGTGGCTCAGCATCACTGCAGGAGCACAGTGCTCTCAGAAGGAACACAAGGACCGTAAGACACCTCTGTACTTGGGGAGGGGGCCTCTTTACACTCCCCAACCCCCACTCCCAGCTCTTCCTCTCCCCTGGCGACAGGACTAGACTCTGGGTCCTGACTTCAGTGAAGCCTGACATTTCATAGGAGCTTAATATTTCAGAGAAAGAGCATAACAGGCAAATTATTTCCTGTTCTTATCCCTCAATCTCAAGGAAATGGCTTTTTCTCATCCCACAGTAGTTATTGTCAGAACCACTAAATCCCCACAAGAACCAAAACTAATGTCAAAGCCACACAACCCAAATCCTTGGCAAATGAGAAAAGCAAGTCTCAGCCAGGGCCGCAGCAGATTCTTAGAGTGCATACTGAGTGAGAAGCAGCCGAAGCCTCAGCTTTCCCAGTGGATGCGGGACTCCAAGATCCTGCTGTCATGAAGAACTCGGCGGGCTTCGTTTCTCTGCCCTTGTGAGGCCCCCTGGTGGGGAGGTGGAGAACTGGGTGACCATGCACAGCTTAGCTGGTCCAGCTCCTGGTTACCTGGCGTGGAAAGCCGGCCACTGTGTTTTTGACCTGGAACTTATGCCTTGGTATTCTCCAGTTGTTAGCAGGCCTGGATATCATCAAGTAGATTTCGTGTCATCCTCCATTCGAAGTGATCAAAGGAGATTCATTCATGTGCATTTATTCATTTAACAAGTACTGATAACTTGCATGGTATGCTGAGTAAGGATACAGTGTGAGCAAGAGACGAACCTTGTCTCATGGGACTTACACCAAAGAAAGGCAATGCAGTATTTTTATAAAGTACTTAAAACCAAAATGCCCAATTTCTAGTTCTATCTTGGGCCACTGGTTCTCTGTATGACTTGACCAAGCCCCTTAAATTCTCAAATTCCCGAATTTCTTCTAGTTGCAATTTCTTCATTCTTCTAGCTTGTACAGTAGATGATTCTCCCTCATTGGAAATACAAAAGAGGCGGCCAGGCGCGGTGGCTCACACCTGTAATTCCAGCACTTTGGAAGGCCGAGGCAGGTGTATCACAAAGTCAGGAGTTCGAGACCAACCTGGCCAATATGGTGAAATCCTGTCTCTACCACAAATAACAAAAAAAATAGCCAGGCATGGTGGCACATGCCTGTAATCCCAGCTACTCGGGAGGCTGAGGCAGAAGAATCACTTGAACCCGGTAGGCAGAGGTTGCAGTGAGGCGAGATTTCTCCAGTGTACTCCAGCCTGGACAACAGAGAGAGACTCTGTCTCAAGAAAGAAAGAAAGAAAGAAAGAGAGAGAGAGAGAGGGAAGGAGGGAAAGAAAGAAAATAACAAAAGAGACGTGGCATGGTGGTTCACGCCTGTCCTCCCAGCTACTCTAGAAGCTGAGGTGGGAGCATCACTTGAGCCCAGGAGGCTGAGGGTACAGTGAGTCATGATCATGCCACTGGACTGTAGCCTGGGCAACAGAGCAAGACCCTGTCTCAAAAAAAAAAAAAAAAAAAAAGGGATAAAGGAGAGATAAAAACCATTCTCTCATGTAGGTAGGGTTGTTTTGTTTTGTCTCTTGGGGTATCTTAGAGTAACAGTCTGTATACTTTAAACCAGTATTTCTCAACTAAGGGTGATTTTGCCTCCCAGGGTACATTTGGCATTTTCTGAGGTCATTTTCAGTTGTCAAAACTACTGGCATCTTGTGGGTAGAGGCCAGGGATGCCATTAAACACCCTGCAATGCACAAGACAGCCCCCCCAAAAATATCCAACCCAAATGCTGTTGAGAGAAACCTGGCATTAAACTTTGAAAACACCCATCTTTTCCCGTCATTTCTCCATCAATCTCACCCAGAAGTTAAGAGACCTGATTCAAAAATGAAGGCAGTGCATCCTTGGGAGTCACGCAGTTATGAAGCGTGCTCCGTATTTCCACACACATTATTTCATCGCTGTAGGTCACGGTGCCCTTGTCTGAATGGCGGGGCTGGTGGCAATCACCTGGAATGGTTGTGAGAAGGACTTAACTAAAAGGACTACCCTCAGCCGACCCGCAGCTCCCAGAGGAAAGCTGTGTGGTGGCTCTTTATCTCTTGAATAGTGTCTTGATTTGGAATCTCTTGCCATCCCCTTACCCCCTTATTCTACTGCTGTGAAGGAGAGAAGCATCTTTTGTCTTCTTTGTTACATGGGAAGCAGAATTTCTCAGAGCACCTTCTATCCCTTTCTTAAGTCTTCACCATTGCTATGATCACCACCTTCTGACTCCTGATTTTTTTCTTCCTTTTTCCAGAAGTCCATGTGGAACCTCATAAAAAGCAGCTGCATGTGACCTTGGCTTACCACTTCCAGGCCAGCCACCTACCCACCCTAGAGAAACTGGCCCAGAACATTGACGTCAAGCTAGGGTGTGACTGGGTGGCTACCATATTTTCTCGGGATATCCGATTTGCTAACCATGAGGTAATGTCTCACTGTGGTTTCAGATGCTACCAGGTGCAGGGATGCGATCAGAATCAGCAGCTCGTTGCTGCAGGGAGAGGGGTACCTACAGGGGGAAAATGGAGCAAGCACCTAACAAGGCAGTCTGCTGGCCCAGGAATGTGTCCAGCCTCTGCCTGTCTCACTGGGCCGCTTCCAGAATGCTTCCTTCCTCTCTGGGTCACAAGTGGTTCATCTGGGTAACATCCCAATAGTCCTGTCTGCCCTGCCAGTCTTACTGCAGTGAAGAAGAAATGACATGGGGCTGGGCGAGGTGGCTCACGCCTGTAATCCCAGCACTTTGGGAGGCTGAGTTGGGTGGATCACGAGGTCAGGAATTCAAGTCCAGACTGGCCAACGTGGTGAAACCCCATCGCTACTTGGGAGGCTGAGGTAGGAGAATTGCTTTAACTGGGACCTGGGAGGCAGAGGTTGCAGTGAATCTTGGTTGTGCCACTGTACTCCAGCCTGGGCTACAGAGCGAGACTCCATCTCAAAAAAAAAAAAAGAAAAGAAATGGGAGAGAATAAATAAATAATATATTGGAAAATTTTGAATATTATATAAATTTATGTTGTTAATGAAGGATATCATTCTGACCTTAAGCGAGTTGAAGAACACATAAATAATAATAATAAAAAACTTGCAAAGACATAATCAACAGATATTTGCTATGTATCTGTATCATGCGCAGTACCTTGGAGCATACTGGAATTTTAAAATGTGGTCCTGTCCTCATTGAGGACAGAGACATGAAAAGAAAACTCAGGCCACCTGCTGTGGGAGTTTGTGCACATCCCAGCGGGAGGCCTGAGTGGGACAACTGAATTCCATCACAGGGAGAAAGACTGGTATAGCCCTAGCATCCTTCCTTCGAGGGAATCAACATTGCCTTCCAGACAACTATGTGACTTCTTGGAAGCATAATACTGTCTTTTTTTTTTTCTTTTTCCTTTTTTTTAAAGACAGAGTTTCACTCTTGTTGTCCAGGCAGGGGTGCAGTGGCATGGTCTTGGCTCACTGCCTCCTGGGTTCAAGCGATTCTTCCGCCTCAGCCTCCCAAGTAGCCAGGATTACAGGCGCCAACCAGTGGAGAGAGTTTTAAGTTGTTTTTTTTTTTTTGAGGCAGAGTTTCGCTCTTGTTACCCAGGCTGGAGTGCAATGGGGTGATCTCGGCTCACCGCAACCTCCGCCTTCTGGGTTCAAGCAATTCTCCTGCCTCAGCCTCCTGAGTAGCTGGGATTACAGGCACGCGCCACCATGCCCCGCTAATTTTTTTGTATTTTTAGTAGAGACGGGGTTTCACCATGTTGACCAGGATGGTGTCGATCTCTTGACCTCGTGATCCACCCGCCTCGGCCTCCCAAAGTGCTGTTATTACAGGCTTGAGCCACCGCGCCCAGCCAAGAGTTTTAAGTTTTAAGAGTTTTAAGCACAGGGAAGGAAGAGTTCAAGCTCCTAAAACAAGACTTGTTTGGGCTGTGGGTTCCTTGAGTGTTAAGATTTCGTGTGCCACAATGGATTTGAGATCCCTAGCTCCTAGGCAGAGAATACTCAGCCTGTGCTTAATTTGAGATATGCCCAGGTATGCCATTCACCACTGATCTGCTTTATTTTTCTTTTTTTTTTCTTGAGGTGCACTTGCCCTCTTTCACCCAGGCTAGAGTGCAGTGGCACAATCTTAGCTTAAAACAACCTCTGCCTCCTGGGTTCAGGAGATTCTCCTGCCTCAGCCTCCCGAGTAGCTGGGATTATAGGCTCCGGCCACCACGCCTGGCTAATTTTTGTATTTTTAGTAGACACTGGGTTTCACCAATCAGTTTGACAAGCTGATCTTGAACTCCGGACCTCAAGTGATCTGCTCGTCTAGGCCTCCCAAAGTGCTGGGATTACAGAGTGAGTCACCATGCCCAGCCAATATTGTCTTTTTCTGTCCTAAAGGAGAAGCTGAGACACAAAGACATTAACTGGTTGGCCCAAAAGCTAAATAGTGACTTAGGGCCAGAGATGAAGCCAGAGTCCATGTATTTTGACCAATAAAGAAAGGCAACCTGCCAGGAAAAAAAAAAAAAGAACAGCAACAAAAAAAACTACATCATAGCGAGGCATGGTGGCTGCCACCTATAATCCCAGCACTTAGGGAGGCCGAAGCAGGAGTATTGCTTGAGACCCAGAGTTCCATACCAGCCTAGGCAGCATAGCAAGACTGTATCCCTACACACCCACAAAAGACCTCATCGTTTGTTAAAAATGTGCCTTTCAACCTTCCAACTTTACATTTATTAAGCAATTCTTCTATTCGTTACCCAATTTATCAACAGCCAAAGAACTGATATTTTTGTTAGTTTATATAGCCTTTTAACATCTCTTCTAGACTTACTTTAAAAAAAAAAAGATCTGATGGTTTTCTAAGTTAAGAACAAAAGAAAAAATAAAAAAATGAAAAACAGAACCCCAGGGCTGAGGCCAGGCAAGCTTATTGTTTTAGAAGTGGTAGAGAAGAGCCAACCCATGAGTCAGAGGTTCATGGCTAGGCATGGTGCCCTGTGAGTGTCAGGGGCATGTAGCCTTGTCTGAGTCTGCTCATGGGAACATGATGTCCTCCTTTTGAGTCATTTGATGTAGGTTTCTGTAAGATGCCTTGAGCAGACTGGGCCTGATCTCACGTAAGAATTCTGACATCTCCTAGAGTCTCTTAGAGTGAGCCCTGAAGATAACAAGGGAGGTGTGGCTGGCTGAACTCCTTCTTGAGGGCAGAATAAAATAAAATAAAAAAGTAAAGCGTTGCATGCAGATGGCTCTGAGAAGTCACCTTGCTAAGAGAAGGAAGGTGGCAGTGGAATTTTACAAGGAATATCCTCTAATCAACACTGCCCTCCAGTTAACTCAAAGGGTAATTGCTTTTCTGCCTGACCCACATTCGGCTCAATTGGCATGGAAGGAAAAAGGCAGCAAGCGCCCACATGAATTATTTTCTAAAAATAACTTGGCCTCTTTTATCTCTTATTTGTAAAAGCTCAATTATTACCGTTAGTTCTGATAAAGCTCTCCTCGGCCCCTTTGGACTAGACCTCTCCCCTGAGGTCTTTCAATTCTACCTGAACCGAAAGACCTCAGGAGAGTCCGCACATGTAACCCTCTTCTTGCCTGCCTTCAACCTGTCCCCAGGAGGCAGTTTTGATTGATTTTCCAGTGAGGGAACAGATGTCCAGAGAAGGAGAGTGGTTTAGGCAAGAACACTCCGACAAGGCACCGTGATGCTTAGGAAAACTCCAAGGCCTCATCCCTCTGCTGTGTAGACTCTCACTCGATTTAGACATGCAAATGCCCGTTTGTACTTTACATAGGCTCTTCTCACGTGAGTGACTACATTGGGCCATGCCAGTTTCATATACCAACCAATAGAAATCCAGAGGAAGGACAGGGCGATACAAAAAGCATCAACTTTGGAGTCTACCACACTTGGCTTGGAATCCTGGCTCCATCATTTTGGAAGGGTTAAATTCACTTTGACTACTTGTATAAATCTCCAGTCCTTAGTTTTCCCATCTGTAAAATGGTGACAGTGTTTTGCTAGATGGTTATGAAGATGAAATAAGAAGCTATATGGAAAGGCTCTAATACTCAGCACAAGGTGGGCGCAACAGAAACAAAACATTGCTTCAGCTATTATTGTGCGTGAGAATAAAAAGGGCTCCAAAGACAGTTCAGCTCCTGTAATCACACAGGGCTGTGGCTGTCTTTCATTCAGCAAACTGAGTTCCGTCTCAGCGTAGAAAGGGAGGAGAGACATACCTGAGGTGGACTCAAGAGTTCTTACAAGTATTTGGGAGGCCGAGGCGGGTGGATCTCAAGGTCAAGAGATCGAGACCATCCTGGTCAACATGGTGAAACCCCGTCTCTACTAAAAATACAAAAAATTAGCTGGGCATGGTGGGGCGTGCCTGTAATCCCATCTACTCAGGAGGCTGAGGCAGGAGAATTGCCTGAACCCAGGAGGCGGAGGTTGCGGTGAGCCGAGATTGCGCCATTGCACTCCAGCCTGGGTGACAAGCATGAAACTCCGTCTCAAAAAAAAAAAAAAAGAGTTTCTTGCAAGTATAGGTCAGGCACAGTGGCCTGTCCCAGCACTTTGGGAGACCAAGGCGGGTGGATCACCTGAGGTCAGGAGTTCGAAACCAGCCTAGCCAACACAGTGAAACCTCATCTCTACTAAAAAGACAAAAGTTAGCCAGGCGTGGTGGTACCCGCCTGTAGTTTCAGCTACTCAGGAGGCTGAGGCAGGAGAATCACTTGAATCTGGGATGCGGAGGTTGCGGTAAGTCAGGATCATGCCACTGCACTCCAGCCTGGGCGACAGAGCAAGACTCCGTCCCAAAAAAAGACAAAAAGAAGAGTTCTTACAAGTAGATGCCAAACATAAAATAAAAGAATAAGTAGAATGTAGTATAAATTAAGCATATGTTCTCGTATCTCTCAAACTTAGGCTAAGGCTTTGTATCTGCTTTTGGTGAGTGAGAAAGGGCATTGGGGACACGGGTCTCAGTTACGATTTTAGATTTGCTACAATGCCTTAATTCTTTTATTGTTCATTCAGTAAATCAAAGCTACTTATTGTCCAACTTCCCTATGCCTAGGACATATTGTCTCTAACCTTTGCTGTGCCTCAGTTTCCCTGGGGATAACCTAGAGATAGAATGAATACTAACCTCCCCTATGTGGTAGGACAAACGAGGACTTACCTGAAATTGCATTGAGTTTCTTAAGGGAAAGGCACTACTGGGCCAAAGGCATTATTAGCCAAGAGCACGCTGTGCTTGAACATTTAAGGAACACGAGTTTAGGCTTGTTTCCCTATGACTCGGTGCCTTTCTCCACCTTGTCCCAGAAAAAAAGAATGGTCTTTTTCATGGGAAGTCACACATTTAGCTTTGCGGTTTATGAGATTTCACGTGCATTTTTTTTCCCCTTTAAGCTGATTTAACAATCCCGCAGAAAACCTTCCAGGCTTGTTTGGAGAGGTGGCTTGAGTGTGTATGAGGCAGAGGGACAGAGGGTAAGGAGGCAGTCAGAAAGCAGGAAGATCTAGAACTGAAAGATGCTGGAGTCAGAATTAGGGAAACAAACAGCCGCCCTACATAAAAGGAAAATCAGAAATGCAGCGGTACAAACGAGGTCTGTGTACAATCACTCTCATCCTCTGAAAAGTCACCCCTTGACTGGCTCCTTTCTTTAGAGATTTCCAGGAGGAGGTTCTCTCTTTATAACATGTTCTGGCATGTCACTTTGACATCAGTGAGCCTGTTAGTTCGCAGGCCTACCCAGCACCAGGTCCAGGGATCAGGGTCGGCCGAAGGAAGGGCGTGACCTGGGAGATCAGGTGGCCTGGTTCAGTTGAAACAATTATGTCCTTTCGGTGTACAAGGCTGTGTCCTAGGTGTTTTCTTAGATTGTCTCATTCAACTTTTATGGTCTGAAGTGTTATTTTACAGATGAGAAAACTGAAGCTAAAGTTAGAAATATGCAAGTGGAGACCAGAACACTTGGCCTCCAACTAACGTCTTTGAGACTCTAGAAAACGGTGAAAGCTGTTAAAGCTTTCTGTCTTTGTGTCCCTTGTGAAACAAATAAGATAAGAAATATTTTCCTTACTATTGAAGTCTCCTGCTATTAGTAACAAAAAATGGTAAAATAAATGTTTTTTACAGTACCTTCATGCCTGTACCTGTGATGTTTATACCTGCCAGGAAAGGAGGGCAAAAAGAAATAAAGAATAAATAGCCAACTGGCATAGCCTGTGGTTGGTCTGGGGGCTTTTGTTCTCCGTCTAATGGAAGCTGGCTACATACTGATGTAGACACTGATGTCTAGACATTTTTCTTTCAGGGTCTTTGTTAAAACTGCAGGTTTTAAGAAAGCTCCTTGAAGGTAGGGACCTTGTCTGGTTTAAAGAGCTAAATGGGCTGGGCAAGGTGGCTCATACCTGTAATCCCAGCACTTTGGGAGGCCGAGACAGGTAGACCACCTGTGGTCAGGAGTTTGAGACCAGCCTGGCCAACCTGGTAAAACCCCGTCGCTATTAAATACAAAAATTAGCTGGGCGTGGTGGTGGTCGCCTGTAATCCCAGCTACTCAGGAGGCTGAGGCAGAAGAATTCATTTGAACCCAGGAGGAGAGGCTGCAGTGAGCCGAGCCAAGATCATGCCATTGTACTCTAGCCTGGGCAACAAGAGTGAAACTCCATCTCAAAAAATAATAATAACAAATACATAAATAAAGAGCTAAGTTACATGGAAAGGGGAGTACTTCATTCCCCAAGCCTTCCTGAAGGAAAGACATTCTACCTGGCCCATCTGTAACCCCCGTATGGAAGACTGGCTTTCCATGAGCTGCGTTCAAGTGTCTATCATGGTGACGAGCAGATGAAGCAAGGGAAACTGGGTCTAAGTCCATTTATATAGCAGTTGACCAGAGAGCTCCGGGATTTCAGCTCAGTTTCTTAAAACGATACTTGAATCCTGATGGGAAATCTAGACATGCCTGAAGAAAGTGTGGAACCATTTCTAGCACCAGGCATACACACCCGCAATACCCTAGAGAAGTGCTCTCTGATAGGAATTCACATCTACTCAGGGCCTGAAGACCCGAAGGACTCCTGAGCACATCGCCCTCTGGAGGTATGCAGTATTAATGTATAACATACAGTCCTGGCCTTGAGGCACTCAGGAGAATGGTGACTTGTGGGGCTCACTCACCCTCTCTTCTTTTTTCAGACATTACAGGTGATCTACCCCTATACCCCACAAAATGACGACGAGCTGGAGCTGGTCCCTGGGGACTTCATCTTCATGTCTCCAATGGAGCAGACCAGCACCAGTGAGGGTTGGATCTACGGTACGTCCTTAACCACCGGCTGCTCTGGACTCCTGCCTGAGAATTACATTACCAAGGCTGATGAATGCAGCACCTGGATATTTCATGGGTAAGCAGACACAAAGACCTTTATGCCCTTTGAAAAACGTTGCTAAGGCACACTTGATCCTAGATACACAGGGTAGCAGCAAATGGAGTCCATGGGAAGAAGACCCTGTGGGTTCCAGACTTCCAGGAAAGGAGCTGACTTGAGGCATGGGAAAAATGTGAAACGGATTGCTCTGCTTCCCTCTGCCTGCCCCATTTTCTGTAGTTGTCTGCCTGAGTCCTTGATCAGAGACTAACCTGAGGCTGCTTGGGGTCCGTCTCTTCTGGCTGAAGGGTGGCATCATCCCAGTGCTGCATCTTCACTGCTTTACGGTTTTGGCCACCTTGTCCTGGGTCATGACCCAGGGTGGTCTGACTCCCCAAAGCAGCTGGGCAGATTACTACTCTCCCAGCCAGACCAACAGAGAAAGGGCTTTCAAGAGGCTGGAGCCCTATCTGCGTCCCTCATTTGCTAAGTGACCCTGAGCAAGTCCTCAGACAGCCCGTGCATGCCTAGACGACAAAGACCGTGTCTAGGGTAACAGGCAACTGCCAGACTGAAAAAGGGTACTTTTCCCTCCCCTCTGCCAGTCTTCCTTTGGGTAATAGCTTTCCACCCATCCCTCATTACTATTTTGCCCCCATTCCATACTGGTCCCCTGTTCAGTGGCCAACTTTGTCCCAGTAGAGAAAATAGAAACAAAAGGCATCTTTCTTTCTTAGTCGGAGCAGCTCAAAGCCAGCGCTTCCCTGGTACACTTGGGCATCTAGCCAGGGCCTGCATGCTGGTTTGTTTTCCTCCCTCTTATTTCTGCCATGTGGCAACATGGCTGAGAGGCAGAAGCCCGGAGCACCAGCTGCTTGTGGCTAAATTGTTATTATCGCCATAAAGGAGAAGCAGAGAGAGATGATTTCATCAAGTCTCTGCCTGGAAGGAGAAAATAAAGGTCCCCTACCCTAGTGAGCCACGAGCAGACAAACCACAAATCCAAAGATGGGAAAGACTATATTCTCCCTTAATAACCCCACCCAGCAATCCCTTCCTCTCTCTCCCACCCCACCTCCGCCTCAGTCCAGCCCATGAACCTCCAGCATTGGATAACACAAAATTAGAGGTCAAATCTGTCTCATGTTCCCCAAACATTTGCTTTTTCAGAAATGCTTCTAAAGATCAAAATATACAGTTTGGGTTTCCAAAGTCTTCATTTTAATCCCTGTAACAACAAGTAAAGCAAAATATGCATGAATAAACTGAGCACTAAAAGAGTATTTGCCTGACAAAGTGCTTGGAGTCACTGTTTTATCAGATCTCTTTCTTAAAAGTAGGTGTATGGCCGAGTGTGGTGGCTCACGCCTGTAATCCCAACACTTGGGAGGCCAAGGTGGGTGGATCACTTGAGGTCAGGAATTCGAGATCTGCCTGACCAGTATGGTGAAACTCCATCTTTACTAAAAGTAAAAAAAATAGCTCAGTGTGGTGGCACATGCCTGTAGTCCCAGCTACTCGGGAGGCTGAGGCAGGAAAATCACTTAAACCTGGAGGCAGAGGTTGCAGTGAGTGGAGATGGTGCCACTGCACTACAGTCTGGGCAACAGTGAGACTCCATCTCAAAAAAAAAAAAGCGGATGTATGTGAATATGTGAGAAGCTGTGCTGATCTCTTAGAGTTCAGCCCATCCAAACCCACTCTGCCCTAAATTACAGCTCAGGCCATCGTGAACCTGAGTGACATCGGTCAGTGGGTCCCAGGGAGGTCTTTGTGACCTCTTTTATTTGAGAGATTACTAATGATCTTATGTCCCTGAGAACCATGTCTGAAATTGAACTAACAGCTTCCACAGCCACCCTGATCAGAGTGGGGAATAAGTCAGGCATTAGTTCATTGTGATTAAGAATTTGAGATTGGATTCCAGTAGTCTTGGATTTAAGTGAGAACTCTCCCAATTTAACCAGCTGCGGGCCTTGGCCAAGTTGCATTACCTCTCTGAGCCTCTGTTTGCTCATCTGGAAAATGGAACTAACAATTACACTGACCTCATAAGGTCTGTGAAGACTACAATATAGAGCTAGCTTTACATGGTTGAGAGTCTGGTGTATAACAGCAGTGACTATAAAATCGCCATTTGTGGCCGGGTGTGGTGGCTCACACCTGTAAACCCAGCACGTTGAGGCCGAGGTGGGTGGATCAGGAGGTCAGGAGTTCAAGACTGGCCAACAAGGTGAAACCCCATCTCTGCTAAAAATACAAAAATTACCTGGGCATGGTGGCATGCGTGCACCTGTAATCCCAGCTTCTCGGGAAACTGAGGCAGGAGAGTCGCTTGAAACTAGGAGGCAGAGGTAGGAGAATGCCTTGAACCTAGGAGGCAGAGGTTGCAGTGAGTGGAGATCACATCACAGCACTCCAGCCTGGTGACAGAGTGAGACTCCATCTCACAAAAAAAAATCGCCATTTGCATAATGGTGATGATTTTCTTTTTTCTGTCTTGTGTTCCAGTCCTCACCTAGTGTTCGTCAAAGGAAATGTGTCTTCCATAAAAGCGATCCTGTAGATAAACTGCACTTTCCTATCTAACACCAAGGTCAAATGACGCAAGGAGGCAGAGCCCAGTTTCTTTGTAAGACAGACCTTCTCTCACTCCTAACTCAAGATAGGCTTCTGGACGTAGAGCCCCAGGGAGATGTCAAGCATGACCTGGCTGGCATGGTGGGACATTGCCCAGGGGTCAGTGATTTTAACAACGCTCCCTGCCCTGTGCTTCTCAGTTTTCTGAGTCCCTACTAAGGGAATATGTTCTATCCACACTAACTGAAGTGCCTTACTTGGTTCTGAGATATCCTCAGGTGTTTTTCAGTTGATGAAGCGCCCCTGTGTTCTCTGAAGCTGAGTGAGCTGCCTGGCCGCTTGGGCTTAGCACAAGCCTGGCGTGGGGTAGGGAGAAACCAGCTCTCCTGACACTTGAGAGGTTCTGGATGTCAGGCCCGGCTTCCTCCCTCCACTGTTCTGAGCAAGAAGTATCTGACTATTGTCTTACTGGAACTGACAGCTCCACGCTGCCTAAGAGTGAGTCAGGTCCTTTTATTACAATAACAGTTAAGAAGGGAAAGAGGCTGGCATTCATCTTGCCATGGGAGCCGAAGGAGGGAGAGAAGGGATCCTATCAGTATCTTCACAGCTGCAATAAAGTAAAGAAACAGACTTGTACAAGCAAGGTGTCAGCATGATTTTGGGTAGCTAGGCATTTTGAGCCCTGAAGCGTTGATGAGTCAGAAAATAAAACCGGATTTTTTTTTTTTTCCCTGAGACAGAGTCTCAATCTGTTACCCAGGCTGCAGTGCAGTGGTGCAATGTCAGCTCACTGTAACCTCTGCCTCCTGGGTTCAAGTGATTCTCCTGCCTCAGCCCCCCGAGTAACTGGAACCACAGGCATGTGCCACCACACCCAGCTAATTTTTGTATTTTTAGTAGAGATGGGGTTTCACGGTGTTGGCCAGGCTGGTCTCGAACTCCTAACCGCAGTTGATCCACCCGCCTCGGCCTCCCAAAATGCTGGGATTATAGGCCTGAGCCACTGCGCTTGGCCAAACTGGATTTTCTTTAACTGTGTGAAGTTTGGGAGGGTCTCAGTTTAAAATAATACAGAATAGCTGGTCTATTACTCTGTGTGAATGGCATAAGATTTCCTTGGGCTACAGTTACTTAGATTTTACCGTAACGGGCTTCACTTGGCTATACATCAGATGGACTGATGCTGCTTTGTGGAACTGTAGGTTCCTGGGTCCCACCCCGACCTACTAAATCACAGTCTGTGAGGAACAGGACCCCGGCATGAGTACTTTTTTTAAATTCCTCTGCTAATTCTGATATGCACAAGGTCTCAAAGTCAGTTTTTCAGGGCATGAGACTTCTGAGACCTTCATTTATAAGTAGAATAAGTCTATCACTTCTAGTAAAAAGGAGCCACTTCTGAAAGTGAAGGGGGTGCTAAGATAGTTAAAATCACCTAATTTTTTTGGAACAAAAATTTGCTAACAACCAGTTAGCTGTATTGTATTGGTGAATATAAAAAGTTATTTTCAAAAATAAAGTTCTGGGCCAGGCGCAATAGCTCATGCCTGTAATCACAGGATTTTGAGAGGCCGAGCTGGGCAGATCACCTGAGTTCGAGACTAGCCTGGCCAACATGGTGAAACTCCATCTCTACTAAAATTACAAAAATTAGCTGAGCTTGGTGACATGCGCCTGTAATCCCAGCTACTCGAGAGGCTGAGGCAGGAAAATCACTTAAACCTGGGGGGCGGCAGTTGCAGTGAACAGAGATCACATCATTGCACTTTAGCCTGGGCGACAAGAGTGACACTCGGTCTCTAAAGTAAAATAAAATAAAATTCTGATAATACAGTGTTAAAAGAGAATAATCCAGAACAGGTGGTGGCCTAGATAGGTTGCTGGGTTAACAGATACAAGCCAGGAGTATATGGAGCAAACTGGGATGGACGGCTACTCAGATTGTAAAGAAGCAAGAAATCTACAGATTTAAATGTTCCCCCTGGACTCAGCTCAGTGATTCCAGAGATGTTCATTGGATTCGCCTAACAACCGTATTTAAATTGCAATGTTTATTAGATAAAGCTTTGTGGAAGTCTTACTATTCACAGTCATTTAAGCTTGGCAGGTTTTGACTGTCTTCCTTTCAGCAAGACCTCTTTTGGGCTTCTGTAGTTAGAGTGTTACACTCAGAAATGAGAGTTCTTGGCTCACAGCCCTAAACATCTGGTGAGAATAGTCTTCTCTGAAATAATTCTGTTTGTGATCATCCTGTTGGAGGTGTTACTGTGGTGGAGATAGGGTTTGGAGGCTGAAGAGCGTAGAATAGGGGACCGTGGCCACCAAGTTTCCTTGACCGTTAGGAGCCACTGGCTAAGTGGTGGAGATGGTTGAAAATACTCGCCTATCGTTCTTCACTTCAGATGGAAATTACTGCTGGAAATATTAAAGGCAACGGGAATCGTAGATTTTTTTTGAACCGGAAAAATAACTGCAAACAAATAATTGATACATCATTATTCTTGAAATTGTCTTTGACACCAACCATGTGTGGCACAAAATCACTGCGACCCATCCCTGCCCAGAGGAATGAATGTATCTGTTCTCAGTGCAGAAACCCATCTACCTGTAATTAATTAATTACTTTTTATTTTTATTTCATTTGAGACAGGGTTTCACTCTCACCCAGGCTGGAGTGCAGTGGTGCAATCTTGGCTCACTGCAACCTCCGCCTCCCAAGTTCAAGCGATTCTCATACCTCAGACTCCTGAGTAGTTGGGACTACAGGCACGTACCACCACACCCATTTAATTTTTTGTATTTTGAGTAGAGATGGGGTTTCGCCATGTTGGCCAGGCTGGTCTCAAACTCCTGACCTCAAGTGATCTCCCTGCCTCAGCCTCCCAAAGTGCTGGGATTACAGGTGTGGGTTACCACACCCAGCCTACCTCTAATATATTAACTGCAAGACTTCAGTATAAAACAAGATGTTCCTCCCTTAGGAATGGGGCCGCCTTGCTCAGCTTCCGCCATTGCACTGCCCACAGAGGGCTTTGAGTTAATTCCCACATTCCTCTTGAGCCGGAGAGGAAGTGCTGATGACTCCTGACCTTCCTTATCTTCCTCTGCAGTTCTTACTCAATCTTAAACACATCGTCTTCCAACTCTCTCACATTTGGGGATGGAGTATTGGAGAGGCGGCCGTATGAGGACCAGGGGCTCGGAGAGACGACTCCTCTTACTATCATTTGCCAGCCCATGCAGGTAAGGCTGAGAATCTATTTATTAAGTATGAGGCATTGCCCTTGCTGTCCCCAAAGGTTCCGTGATCTCCTGGGAAGAAAGTACACCAAATTAGAAAAGATATACAAAAATTCAAGGCTAGGAAGAATCAGATGAGCAGTACTGATAGTGACTTCCAGCAGTTAAACCTAGGCTCATAAGAAAGGTCGTTCCACAGAGAAAGGAGGAGATTTTAGCTCTTAAGTAGAAATAATGCCCATAGTTTTATCTGTTTTGCAGGTTGTTACAAAGATTAAAGAAAATAATAATCTTGCTTAGGCACAAAAGAAAAAAGAGAGAATAAGGTTAAAAAGAAAATAATAAAATAGGGCTCTTAGCACAATAGTTGGCATATAATGAGTGCTCAGTATGTGTTACCTTTTTCAAGAAAGGTTGGAGATGGAGGGAGTGGGGGAGTAGTTGCTGGAATCGTGCAAATAGAGGCAAGTTGAAAGTTCAGGCATGTTGAGGATTAAGGCAGTAGACCATTGTGGCTCGAGCCCAGGATTTAAATTAAGGAACAATAGGAAAAGAAGTGGGAGGGATCGTGCCATCATTCCACATATTAATGTTGTCAGGGCAACTAGGAGCAAATGTGAAGTGCTGGGCAGTGCTAAGGAAACTGGAAAAGCTGACTGTGTCAGAAAGAAGGAATGTAAGAACATCTGTAAGCTTCCATCCAGCAGTTATAGAAGCCAGAGTCATTTGGACGTGCCTTTGACTAGATTTGCCTATGTCATCACCCAGAGGTAGCAGCTGCCTCATTTTGGGGGTCACCAATGTACATACAGTCAGACCAGAAGAGCCTACACAGTGATTAGAATAGGAAAACAGGGCCTCATTGCTGGAGTGGACCGTGAGGACCATGTGGTCTGGCCACACAGTTCAGAGAAGAGGTGGACACATTTGCGATCATAGACGTATTCACTCCCTGAAAAAGCTGATGAGTCACCCCTTTTGGGTAGGAAGGTGTCTCATTAGATGGCTATCTTGACATGAATAGTTAGTTTTAGCTCTGAGCTGTAACTTAAAGTGGACGTCATGTTTTAGTAATGGCCAAATGCTATTCCTAAAAGAGCAGCAGTAGCAACAATAATGCCTTTTTCATAACTTCTCTTATTTTATGAAGCACATGCAATTTATCTCATTTGAGCCTCAAAGTAGCTTATGAGGTCTGTAGGATAAGTCTTACTGTCCTTACTGTACGAACATGCCAGCCTCAATCCAAGGCAGTTAAGAGGTTTGTCCAAGTCATATTTTGGCAGAACTTTGGTAGTAGAGCTCAGCTCACCTGGCACCTGACTCCAAGATATGTCCACTTTGCCATGTGTGTCTTCACTCATGGCCTTTCTTTCTCTGCAGCCTCTAAGGGTCAACAGCCAGCCCGGCCCCCAAAAGCGATGCCTCTTTGTATGTCGGCATGGTGAGAGGATGGACGTTGTGTTTGGGAAGTACTGGCTGTCCCAGTGTTTTGATGCCAAAGGTGAGTTGTTGGTGGGCCTGCTCAGCACGGGCATACCCATAGTGGCCTCTAGGGGGCACAGTCAAGCTACAGTTATCCAGACGGGGTCATTTATAGTTCTGTATGCTATAGAAAATGTCTGTCATCCTTAAGTCCCTCCTGATTGTCTTGAGCTTTAGGGAAGAAGTAGTGTTCTTGTCCCATTCTATAAACTTGGATACCAGGGACCAAAGATGACGGATGTCTGGCCCAAGGGCATATGGCAAAGTCGGCAGCAGAAACATATCCTGATCCTATGGCCAGAGCGAGCCAACGAGCCGTGAAATCTTGTTGGCTTGCTGGGTTCCATTTTCATTTGAATGGCATTTTACGAGACGGAGGCTTGCAGAACCAGGGAATTTCACCTGCCTTAGATTGCCTGGTTAATACGTCCACTGAGAAACTATCTCATGTCACTTTTGTCAGTAGAATGGAAGAGTGGATTCCAAGTCACTTTATGAAACAAAATGTCAGCCTCGATATTTTCCATCAGCTCCAGAGAGCTCATTGTCATCTCTTTGGCCAAGAAGGAATGGGGGTGGAGAGTGTCAGGATCAGTAAGGGAGTCCAAAGTAAACAAGATATTTATGTATCCTCTGTCTAACCTCTTTATTTTTCAGGCCGCTACATACGCACCAACCTGAACATGCCTCATAGTTTACCTCAGCGGAGTGGTGGTTTCCGAGATTACGAGAAAGATGCTCCCATCACTGTATTTGGATGCATGCAGGCGAGACTAGTGGGTAAGTACCCTGGGTGACTGCACTCCAGGCATTTATTGCCTTCTGCAAAACACTGGTACCAGGGATATGCAGGATGCTTCCTGGGGGTTTCTATAACTTTCCTACAAGCAATATATTTCCTCAATTCAAAAGGAACTTATTATACAACCATTAAGTCTAGGATGCTGTGTTCAGCCCTAGGTTGGTTGACCACAGTGAACGAGGTGTGGTCCTTATTGAGGAGCACGCGATCAAGTCATGGGGAAGGTCAGGGTTAGGTTACTTTGCTCACTGTTGGATGTAGCAGACAGGTCAGCCTCTAGTTCAGGACAGCAGCATTTGCCCACATGGCTGTGGGAAGAGGACAAGAGTGAAGAAGAGGTGTTGGGTACCAGCACAAGTCCCGTACGTGGGTGCCCTTAGACCTGGCGGTGACAAGGGATTGAGAAAAGGAAATAAAGACAGAGACGCAAGAGTAGAATTTACAGCGTGGGTCTAGGGGACCAGCGCAAGTGTGGGAATTACATTGGCTGTGAGCTCTGGGCTCCAAACACTTTTATTATGAGCATAATCCCGTTGATCTTATGGGCATGGAAGGGAAGGGTGAAGGGGTAGGGAAGACTGGGGGGAAGAGCACTTGAGATCCTTCTAAGACATGCTAAACTAGTGCTCTGAGCATTTAACAGCACTTGAAATCCTTCTAAGACATGCTGAACTAGTACTCTCTTGGAGTTATACTGGAGTGTATCACCAATTGTTATAAACAGGTTTTAACAGGATGCTGTTGCATCAGAAGTAATAGCAGATGAGGAACCACTGGCTCTGACCACACCCAATGCATCAAGGGTGTTTTCGAGCAATTAAAGTCACTCCATATTCTGAGAACCTAGGCAGAACCCAAGGCGTTCCGTGATCTCTGCCCTGCAAGGCTTTTCTCCTCCTTGCCAGCTCCCATCTGCAAAGACTCTCTCCGGTCTTGTGAGCAGAGGTTACCTCCCTTCTCAGAGATCTTTGCATAAGCCCTCTTTATGAGGCACTCATGCAGTCCCATGTTGAGAAGGCATTCGTGGGACCCGAGCAGTACTGCCTGCTCTACAGCCACCCTTCAGTGTTCCCCGGTGTTACTGAGCTCTCGGATGGTCTTTACCTTAGACCTCCTGTTGCCGTTTGATTTATAATTAACTGTACCAATAATATAGTTTAGTTCAGTGTATGAACTTCAGTGTACTCTGAGCCAAGCAAGCTTATAATTATTTAGCTAGAATTAACACAGGTCTCCCCCTGGCCATCTTGACCCACAAAGAGGGACCCTGCAGTTGCTGAATTTATAGAGGCCAACTGATCCTTTGAAGATGCCCAGTTCTTTGCAAGCCCAGTCCATGACTGCCCCAGGGAGCTGGTACTTTCCTGTCCAGTCACTTAGCAGATATTGAGTGATCACTTACTTTGTGCAAGGTATTGGACTAGATGTTGGGAACCCAAGTGTGAGTCAGGGAAACAAACTTATGTGTGGATAAATATCATACAATATGATATACATAGAGCTATGCAAAGACACAGAGTATTATGGGAACACAAAAAGACATCTAAGAGAAGAGGTAAGCTGGGAGCTGAACTGGAAGTTAGCTGGGCAAAGAAGGAGCAGGGTGAGGAAAGGGCATTCTCAGTGGAAAGGACCACATCAACAGTCTTAGACTTGAGAAACAGCCTCAGGAATGCAGGGGAATAAAGCCTCTTGTTTCTAGAGTATACATTGTAAGGCAAAGCAGAGATGGGTCTGGCAAGATGGATAAAGGCAAGTTCATGGAACACCTTGGCTACCATATTAAGGTGTTTGGATTTAATCCAGTAGACAAAGCAACTGAATTCTAGGCCAGGTGTGGTGGTTCTCACCTATGATCTGGCACTTTGAGAGGCTGAGGCAGGAGGATTGCTTGAGACCTGGATTTCGAGGCTACAGTGCACTATGATCACACCCCTGCACTCTAGCCTGAACAACAGAGCAAAACCCTATCTCTAAAAATTAAATTAGTAATAATAATTTTTTTAAAGAAGTGGATTTTATAAGGATAGCATTAAAGTATGAGGTGTTGGGATTTATCTCTGGTGTCTAAGAATATGACATGATGAGATTTTGGTTAGCAAAGAATAAAATTAAAACAAGACCTCATTTTCATAAAATAAATCCTCTGTCACAAACTTGAAGCCAGAGTATTGTCCTGTTTCTAAATATTTCCTAGCTAAAGGCTTTAACACTTGTTAGCACCAGAGAGAAGGGAAAGAAAAGACAAGAAGGGCTCTGTCGCTTGCTCTCATAGGAACACTGATGAGGGGTTTTGTTAGAAACAAACAAAGCCTGAAAATACGGGCTCTGTGCGAGCCCCAGCTAGGAAAGAGGGGCTTACAGGGCTTACTACTCAGCACCCTCTCACATTGCCAGTTGAAGTGAGACTGGGTAAATCCATCAGACTGATTCTTTTGTGGCTTTCTTTGCAGGTGAAGCCTTATTAGAGAGCAATACCATTATCGACCATGTCTATTGCTCCCCTTCCCTTCGCTGCGTTCAGACTGCACACAATATCTTGAAAGGTAGGACTTGCAGGTTGACAAAAACAAGTAGTCCATCTCTCTGCCTCTAGGCAGCCCCACACGTAACTTATCTTAGAGTCACGGGACATTCGCCAATGGAAAGCTTTGAATCTGGAATGAAGGGAGGATTCTTTCAGAAGGCAATCTTTGCACAAGTCACAAAAACATATTCTGGCAGCCTAAGCCAAATAAAAGGAATTATACTAATAACATTTTTCTTGAGAATTTAAAGCACTCGTGGATGACTCTCAGGCTTGCAAAATGTTTAGCTTACAGAGTGTGATCCTTTCTTTACGCTTAATAGTCAAATAACTCCTGCTTTGGTATGTTGTTTGCCTCCTGTTTACAGTGCTCTTGGGGGTCTGACATCTTTATCATCTTTTTTTCTTTACTTAATTAAAAAGACTTTAAAAGCAACATTGCTACCAAAATACTCAACTTTCACCCTAAAATCTATGGAAGTGTGAGTTACAGGTATTTCCATTCTCATTTCATGGGAAGGAAAACTAAAAGGAACAGGGTTAGACTGTTTACTTCTATCAAAGAAATGAATCAGCCGGAAATAAACAAGCCAACAAAGAATTTGACAAAGAAAAAATTCTATCCTTTAACCTTAAGTAAACCTCTTCACTACCAGAAGGCATTTATGTATTAAATTTGCACAGAACAACTGGACTACATGCGATAGAAAGATAACTAAGCAGGGAGCAGGGACCATTCCTAGGAGACCAGTTACACTCTAGTAAAACGGAAGACTGCTGCACTGCTACTAGTAAATGTTCAGCATTAGATTTTCTGATAGAGAAAATGAATAATTTACATGATACTCAATTACGACGTGAGCTATTATAGAGTAGTGGATACTATCTGAAGTTTCTTGGTAAGACCATCATGGAATTTGCTTTAGAAAGAGGAATTGGCCGGGCGCGGTGGCTCATGCCTGTAATCCCAACACTTTGGGAGGCCGAGGCGGGTGGATCGCGAGGTCAACAGATCGAGACCATCCTGGTCAACATGGTGAAACCCCGTCTCTACTAAAAATTACAAAAAATTAGCTGGGCACGGTGGCGCGTGCCTGTAATCCCAGCTACTCAGGAGGCTGAGGCAGGAGAATTGCCTGAACCCAGGAGGCGGAGGTTGCGGTGAGCCGAGATCGCGCCATTGCACTCCAGCCTGGGTAACAAGAGCGAAACTCCGTCTCAAAAAAAAAAAAAAAAAAAGAGGAATTATGATAGTCATATAATTGAATCAATTTTCCTTTTTTGAGACAGCCTCTGGCTCTGTTGCCCAGGCTGGAGTGCAGTGGCACAGTCTTGGCTTACGACAACTTCTGCCTCTGGCGTTCAAGTGATTCTCCACCTCAGCCTCCTGAGGCGCTGGAACCACAAGTGCATGATATCACACCCGGCTAATTTTTGTGTTTTTGGTAGAGGTGGGATTTCACCATGTTGGCCAGGCTGGTCTGAACTCCTGACCTCAAGTGATCTGCCTGCCTTGGCCTCCCAAAGTGCTAGGATTACAGGCTTGAGCCATAGCACCCAGCCTTAAATAAATTACAAGGATAATGACTTGTGGCTTTTTTCCTTAAGTTAGATAGGACTTAAAGCCGGCATACATCCTGGCAGTATGGCAAGAGTATTAAACTCATGTGTTAATAATGCACAAAAATTAAAAACCCTTGTCCAAATCCACGTGCTTCCACTTCTGGTTAGCTATATATAACAGCCAGTAGGAAAGAGAATCGCTTATGTATCAGTTTTATAACAAATTGGCCTGAGAATATAGAAGCACTTCCTTCATCTTCACCGTATTTTACCCCTAAAGGTTTACAACAAGAAAATCACTTGAAGATCCGTGTAGAGCCGGGCTTATTTGAGTGGACAAAATGGGTTGCTGGGAACACATTACCTGCATGGATACCTCCATCAGACTTAGCTGCAGCCAACCTGAGTGTTGATACAACCTACAGGTAAGCCTTGGAAACTGCTGCTTACTGAGGCCAGTGTGGAAGTGCTTTCCGCACTAGCTCTAGGCCAGCTTCAGGAAGGAGACGGCTAGACGTCACCTACAGGCAGTTGTCCATAGTGGTAGAAATCAAGCTATGATTTTAGAAATCAAAACTGGAGAAAAGCCAGCATTTGTTTTCATATTTGGCATTCGTGTGGATTAGATTCTCCAGCGTCAGCCCCGTGTTGGATTTTTCTGACTTTATTATACTATTTCAGTGTAATAAAGCCATTTTGCATTCTAGCAATAAGCACCAGCTAGTGCTGTTGCAGTTGAGAAGATTGGAGTGATAAGGAAGAGGATGATGTCTTGTCTTAGATTTTTTTACATTTAGTTTTTCAAAGCATTTTTAAACATCTGTGTTGTCTTTATTTATTGTTGCTACATCCCCAGAATGTAGGTTAGCCATTTTTATACAGGAGAGAGTTCAAAAGGCTTGCCTAAAGGTATATGTGCATTTAGTGATCACACATGACAATAATAATAATAACCTTTCTTCATCATTTTCCACGTGCCAAGCACCGTGCAGTCTGCTGTGCAGTCATCTCATTCCTGTTCCTTTCTTTTTTCCATTAAACCCAACTGTGCTGGGATTTTAAAAAGTATTTGTAGATTGCTTACAGGTGAATAATCCACATGTACACAATTAAGAATTAATCAGGCCAGGCCTGGTAGCTCACGCCTGTAATCCAAGCACTTTGGAGGCCAAGGCGGGCGGATCACCTGAGGTCGGGAGTTCAAGACCAGCCTGACCAACGCGGTGAAGCTTCACCTTTTAAAAAAGAAAAAAAAAAGAATCAGTCAATAATAATATAGTTACATTAACTATCGAAAGTCTACTCTGGCATTCGTAAAAATCTCTTTGAGAAGGAGCAGATAGTCACAACCAGTATAATAGGGAATTAAGCTCATATTTCTTTTTTTTAAGGCTAATCAAGTGAAGCAGTGGGAAGGGAGAAGGAACAAAGAAATCTGTAACTGGTTGTGATCAGTTAGTTGTAAGCCCCACTGCACTCGGGCCAGTCAGCTCACATTTCTTAAGGCAGAGTTTGTAACAAGTGGTCAATATAAGCAGAACTTTCTTACTTGTGATACCTGTTGACTTTTCATTTGAAATACCTACCAGAACCACAAATAAAGCAACGTGCATTTCTGGCTAAGGTAATAGAGAATATCTTCTTTTTCCATACTCATTTTTTTCTTCTCAGCAAATAAGACCTCAGATAACCCTATTAACTAGTTACGTGCTGCTGCTTCTTGTCTTAAAGGAATTGGCACTCCTCAAAAATAAAATTAGATCGATCAACAGAATCCCCTACTAATGCACTTCATTCACATTTTGTTCTGTCCCCTCTCTGGCCACTGTTCTGCTGTTCTTTGCAGGGAATTAGCAATAAATCGTTGTCCCCATCCAAAAGCCACCATCCCTTTGGCCTGGAAAGAGGGGAGTTTCCACCAACATCGGTGAAATGACTTTCGTCATTCACCACCAGCCCCATCCAGACCAACTTGGGTCAACTATGTCTTTGATATTTCCTTTAGGTATGTTCTGCCATCCCTCCCAAGCTGCCTTTCAAGGGTCTCCAGAATCATTCTAGCTGAGCCTGTCAATGTACACTCAGATACACACCCCACCAGCAGTGTGAGCAGAAAGATGAATGTCGGGAACTTGGGATCAGGACACAGTCCTTATTCCAGATTGCCTTTCCCTCTCCAGCAAATCAGAGTTCAAACCAACCATTGTCTGCTTGGTGAGGGAATCGGGGGAGGAAATGGAGCCTCTAATTTGAAAAACTCAGTTGAGAAAACCAAAGTTTAAGCATGTGAAAGAGACAGCCCTGGAGCCTAATTCCCTATGAAATTAATGACACCAAATGCACAGGCCTTTGGAGGCAAGTAAGTGGTGCCCAAATGATTGAGGATACGTGGTGACAGGCAGAAGGGCAAGCCCTGAGAGCCAGGGTAGTGTGAGTCAGGCAGGCTCTGCCGAAAGAGCCCTCTCACCTTGCAGCAGGGATAGGAAGAGAACAGGAGGGAGGTGGGACTGAAAGCCAAGTCACGGAAGCTAACCAGGCTGGTGACTGATAGCAAAGCACCATCTACAGGCAGCAAGACCAAGGGCCTGGGGTCTTAAAAAGCAACCCCAGCCTTCAGGATTTGAGCCAGAGGAGCAAGGCAGAAAAAACAAAATCCACACCAGCTGGGTGGGGCTGCAGAACAGGGCTGTGACTCAGAAGACAGGGGATTAGGGGAGGGCGTGGATCTGGAGCATTAGAGGGGAAACAAATCAAACTTTGGTGTGAGGCTTAAAGCAGAGGCCTGTGCTTACAACCTGGATCGCGGCAAGAGAATATCTGGGGGAGGGTACTGTCCCCGAGACACCATCTGACTTCCAGAGCACTGCATTGCCAGGTTGAGTGGCTGGCAGGAAGGCCACCTGACTCCAAGGACAGTACGGGCCCTACAGGTGTGGCTAGCAGCAGGGCACATCCTGCTGACAGGGGTGAGGAAGCTTTGACTCAGGCCAAGCCCATCATGGCTGGTCAGACACTGGACACTATTTCTGGCTAAGGTAATAGAGAATATCTTCACAGGCCTCACTTGAAGGTGCTGGGAGAAGCCATAGGCAAGAACTGATCAGGAGGAACCAACTCCCAGCATGTATCCTGTTCTTCACCTACATAGATCTCACAGATTACAACCTCGTCTCACACTTGAAATGACTCCCTGGGCCATACAATGTGGTCTTTTGTCACTGTGGGGAAGAGACGGGCCTGGGAGATCAGGTGACATAAATGGTGATGGAACTGGGTGTGAGGTGGGGATGGGGAGAGAAAAAAGAGGAGAAGAGTTTCTCCAGAACAGTGAGGTACAGCCCTAACAAGTGGTGATTCAGGTCTCTACCTATCCCCCAGGGTGTTGTGAGACTCAGAAGGCTGTTTCCTAGGAGAAACATGCATGTTGAGAGAATGCAGGATAAGGGCAAGTTTCCTTCAAGTGGAATGGCATTCTTCCTCTCTGGGCAGAAAGCCCATGCGCACAGATGGGCAGGCTTAACAAGGACATGGTCAGAAGCTGTATGTAGAGGATGGGCTCACCTAGACCCAAATTCAAACCCAGGTTCTAAGAGTTGAATACAGTATTACTGTAGGCAGGTCAGCCGCAGCCTTTCTGAGTTTGTCATCCATAAACAGCATTTAGGAAAGCATTGCTGGAAGGATTAGACTGAAAGAATGTTAAGTAGGATGCTTGCCCAGAGCCTGACACATATGGGAACCTGAGTAAATATTTTCAGTGCTAATGGTAGCAGTAACAGTGTATTCTGATCAAGAAACCATGTGAATTCATTTTGAGAACTCACCACACCTCCACTAGGCACTAAACACCCAGCAATGAAAGACATAATTGAAAACTGACAAAGTAAGAAAACTGAAATGACATAGTTGTACCCAGAAAACAAGATAAACATCTTGTGGACCAGAAACAACACAGAAACTCTACATAGTCAAGTAGGGGTGGAGGCAGGCAGAGGCGGGCCCCGAGGGCATTGGTGACTGGGTTTGAAGGCATACGGGGGCACCAGGACAGGAGGCTCCGCTTTTATCATCCTCTTCCATGCTGTATTAGCTCATTTTTACACCGATGACAAAGACATACCTGAGTGTGGGCAATTTACAAAAGAAAGAGGTTTAATTGGATTTACAGTTCCACATGGCTAGGGAAGCCTCACAATCATGGCAGAGGGCAAGGAGGAGCAAGTCACGACTTACAGGGATGGCAGCAGGCAAAGAGAGAGAGCTTGTGCAGGAGAACTCTTTCTAAAACCATCGGATCTCATGAGACTTATTCACTGTCATGAGAACAGCATGGGAAAGACCCTTCCCTCTCATTCAGTTGTCTCCCGCCAACTCCCTCTCACAACATGTGGGAATTCAAGAGGAGATTTGGGAGGGGACACAGCCAACATCACATGCCTTTGTGGATTGTATTCTAATTATCATTTACATCAATAGCCTCTTCACCCCATCCACAGGCAGAGAACTTCTCCAGCGCAGAAACTGGGTTTTCATCTTTATGCTCTGCCAAGTGTGTGGTCTGTGTTCAGACTAAGAGAGAAATAAAAGGAAAAGACGTGAAAATGTTATAAACTCACAAAGAATCAGGTGGATCTAATATCTGCTTTTAAAACCTATCCTTGCAGCTCTTGAAGAGAGGCCTGGGAAATCCCTGCTGATCTAAAATCCCTGCTGATCTAAATAGGTTGAGGGTTGCACCTCTGCTTTGCTTTGTATTCGCTATGTGACTAGGACCATCAATCAATGGTTTATATGTTATCCCACGGGTGAAACACGCACTGAATGTCTGATTTTTCAGCTTGTCACTGTGACGCCGTACACATAACCATTATTTCTGTACATTTCCACTCCATGTTCATATAGTGGAAATACCCTTCCCTATGCCTTTCTCCTTTCTAGGGAAATGGATAAACATATCTATGGGAACTTTAGGAAGGCCTTGAAATAAAAGTTTAGAGTGATATCTTTCTTTGTCTCAAGATCAAAATGTTTTCATTTCCTTTGTTCATTTTTCTATTACAGACCTCACATTCCAGTCAGCAAATTAGTTGTTTCAGAATCCTATGATACTTATATCAGTAGAAGTTTCCAAGTAACGAAAGAAATAATAAGTGAATGTAAAAGTAAAGGTAGGTGGTATTATTCTGGACTCCATTCTTTACATACATGATCATTTCTCTGTAACGAATAGGCTATTCAAGAAGTTCCAACTTGCTGAGGCTAACCTGTCTATTAGGAAAGAAATGTATTTCCAGATTTTCTTCCAGATACTTTCACATTAAATTTGTAATATTCTCTAAGTAACTAAAATAGTAGATATTACAGGGGTTTACACCGGACTTAGTTACTATTCTTAATAACTCAAATTCTGCATTATAGCTATTCATCATTCACCCTGTGAAAGAGATTCCCTCTTACAATTTCCAAACGCTCTAGAATGCCACTGTTTTGCCTATAATTGATCCAGCACACCTACACACAACACACCTACACAAACACACATCCCTTCTCTGCTATCACCAACCAAGAGCTGTGTTCTATAAGGCTCCACTGTGTCTGCTATTGAATTTTCTAAACCTTGAGCTCAAATATTTAATATGTAAGACTGTTCACTATAAATTTTTTAGTGAAAAAGATTACAAAAAAAGTATGGACATTCCCTTCATCTCTTTTTACTTTTTAAGTTTAAATACTTATATTCAAATGTTAACAGTAGACAGCCATGAGCAACAGTATTATGGATGATTCTCACCTTCCAGTTTTCATTGATTAGCCACTCACTACCATAAAGGTACATAACATGCTCTATCAACCAGAAAGTCTCAAGTGCTCACAGTTCTACAGAGGGAACATTTAAAACAATACTAGAGTCCAGGTGCAGTGGCTCATGCCTGTAATCCCAGCACTTTGGGAGGCCAAGGTGGGTGGATCATGAGGTCAGAAGTTCGAGACCAGCCTGACCAACGTGATAAAAGCCTGTCTCTACTAAAAATACAAAAATTAGCTAGGCATGGTGGCACGTGCCTGTAATCCCAGCTACTCAGGAGGCTGAGGCAGGAGAATCGCTTGAACCTGGGAGATAGAGGTTGCAGTGAGCTGAAATTGCACCAATGGACTCTGGCCTTGGTGACAGAGCAAGACTCTGTCTCAAAAAAATTATATTAGAAGGAGTAGCATGGAGAGTCCTGTGGACATAGAACAGTTCTGTATCTTGATTGTCATGGTGGTTACACAAAGCTACTACACATGTGATAGAATTGCAGGAACTGTATCGTCACATACATACAAATGACTGCTTGCACGCCTGCTAAAATCTGAATACGCAGTGTGTATGGTACCAGTGTCCATTTCCTGGGTTTGATACCATAGTTATGTAAGATGTCATCATTGGAGGGGCTGGGATGAAGGGATCATGGGACCGCTGGTATGTATGTATGTGTATATGTATGTAACCCTCCCATAAATCTATTATTATTATTATTGAGACAGGGTCTTGCTCCTGTCACTCAGGCTGGAGTAAAGTGATGCACTCATGGCTCACTACAGCATCAATCTTCTAGGCTCAAGTGATCTTCCCACATCAGCTCCCAAGTAGCTGGGAATACAGACATAGACCACCACACCTAGCTAATTTGTTTCTAATTTTCTATAGGGATGGGGTCTCACTATGTTGCTCAGGTTGGTCTCAAAACTCCTGAGCTCAAATGATCTTCCCTCCACATTCTTTCAAAGAACTGGGATTACAGGAATCAGCCATCACTCCTGGTCCCATCAATCTGTAACTTAAGATAAAAAGTTTTCGTTAAAAAAAAAATTAAGCTGCCTTAACAATAACAAGGCGCTTTCAAAATATTTCTTAGGCAAATTGTCTTCTCGAGTGTGTTTATTCCCCTCCAGAGCATTTAGTTAGCTTCCAGTATTTCCATGTGTTTATAGAAACAGTCTTTCTATTCCTTGCCATTTTCCCCCAGGAAATAACATCCTGATTGTGGCCCACGCATCTTCCCTTGAAGCGTGTACCTGCCAACTTCAGGGCCTGTCACCTCAGAACTCCAAGGACTTTGTACAAATGGTCCGAAAGGTAATTCATTCTTGTTCTTTGGGGTCTGTAGTGGCTAGTAGTTTGAGGTCAGCAAAATGACTGGCTGATTACTAAGTTCTTTGAGCACGTGTTTATGCTGGGAATATTCATTTATCGATTCACTCAACCAAGATGTATTGAATGATACTCTGCGAAGGGCATTTTATTAGGCCTTGGTGTTAGAAAAACAATGTGTTAGAGCTAGTTCTAGCTTCTAAGAGCTAAAACGTAGGAAGCATCTAGGATTTATAAGCAAATTGTCTGGATTTCCCTGAGGGAATGTGGATTGGATTAATAGCTGTCAGTTAAAAAGACAGCATTCAAAAGCTTAACTCAAAGACAGGTCCTTGAAGGTAGTTCCAGACATGCAGCAGTTTAAAATGAGGAGGCTGGCCGGGGGCAGTGGGTCACGCCTGTAATCCCAGCACTTTGAGAGTCTGAGGTGGGTGGATCAGGAGGTCAGGAGTTCCAGAGCAGCCTGGGCAAGATGGTGAAACTGCGTCTCTACTAAAAATACAAAAATTAGCCGGGCACGGTGGCATGTGCCTGTAATCCCAGCTACTTGGAAGGCTGAGGCAGAAGAATTGCTTGAACCCGGGAGGCCGAGGTTGCAGTGAGCAGACATGGCGCCATTGCACTCCAGCCTGGGTGACAGAGTGAGATTCCATCTCAAAAAAAAAAGGAAAAATGAGGAGGCTAAAAGGCAAAGCCAGGAACAAGACAGAAAACCCATGAGGCTGCCCCACACATCTGGAGTCTTCCTTTCTGTGCCTGTGGGAGAGGTTTTCTGGTCAGCTGCCTCCCACACGTTTCCCTTCAGGCGAATTACATACTTCCTTTCTCTGCCACCAGAGAACCTGGTTCAAACTCAATTGCGATTTTTTTTTCACATTTTTGAAAAGGTTATTTATGCATCTGTCCTCATTTGGAAGACAGAATTTTGTCTTGTTTGTAAATGCAGCTCTGGACACAGACAAAAATAAGTTTTAAAATTGCTGTGATGACTGAAGTGAGGGAGAACACAGCTTCAGCTTTGAATGTTATAGAGACTCATAAGGAGAAAAAAACGGGTGAAACAAATATTTTGAAATTGAAAAATCTTTTCCAATGGGTTCAAGTATAATTTCAGAAATGTTTGAGCTGCCTTTTTCTTTTCTTTTCTTTTGAGGCAGAATCTTGCTGTGTCACCCAGGCTGGAGTGCAGTGGGTATGATCTCTGCTCACTGCAACCTTCTGGGTTCAAGAGATTCTCATGCCCCAGCCTCCCAAGTAGCTGGGATTACAGGCACACGTCACCAAGCCCGTTTAATTTTTTTTGTATTTTTTTAGTATAGACAGGGTTTGCCATATTGGCCAGGCTGGTCTTGAACTCCTGACCTCAAGTGATCCGCCCACCTCGGCCTCCCAAAGTACTGGGATTACAGGCAGAAGCCACTGTGCCCAGCCTTGAGCTGCCTTTTAACTTGACTGGCAATTAGGAATTAACTCCTGGCATTATAGCCTTATGTATTTTGGTCCTCTTTTTTTTTCACCCAGTTAAGCAGCAATCTATGAACAATGACTTAATTATGTTAGAGGAGGTCACCATTTAGCAGATCCTTCTGATGAATCCTCTTGCAGTATAAATACTTTTCCCTCTAAGTTATTCATTTTATCCATTTTATTTTATTTACTGATGTTTGAAGGGAAGGGAATGAATTTCTACAAAGCCTCTATTCATTCCTGACCGCAATTCTCTAGGGCCACATGAATATCTTTGTACCTAGGTAAAAGTTAAAGCAGTAAACCTATCTTCTAATGTCCCCTTTCTTTACAACTCTTACTTCAGATCCCATATCTGGGATTTTGTTCCTGTGAAGAACTAGGAGAAACTGGAATATGGCAGCTGACAGATCCACCAATCCTTCCTCTTACCCATGGACCAACTGGGGGCTTCAACTGGAGAGAGACCTTGCTTCAAGAATAAATCACAGAACGAGAAGAAAAGACCTTTTGGAGATGTGTCTTTTTGTGTGTTTAAAAACAGTGGGAAGATCCACACCACATTCTAAGTGGACAGCTCAGAATAATTTAGCATATTTCCTTTCACACTTAAAGTTCTTCAGATGAGACTATGTAAATGAAAGACTTGATTCAGAGGGAAAAAAATGTGTTCTCTCTGGACTCTTGCCTAGCTCACAAGGCTTTGGAGAATTGTCTTCCTAAATTGGGGCACCTGCTACAGCAGAGAAAGTTTCCTTCCTTCTGGGTATGCACAGCTAAGGGGCCTCATTCCTTCCAGAGGGAACCGCTGACCCGCTCTAAGGGATGCAGGAGGAAGGAGTGTGCCCGGACCAGCTGGGGGAGCACTGAAAAGGCAGTTTGGAAATGGAGTCTTCTTTTGATCTCCATTTTTTAGTTAGGCAGAGCCAAGCTGAGGAATCCTTTTAAGATTATTAGCAAACATGCCCTGAAGAAAGTTGTTTTTAGATTACACATGAAATCCTACCCTCACTAGACCCCACACACCAGTGTCGCTGGCTGAAGACACGCGCTTAAGGATGCTAACATTTACCCTGGTACTGCCACATTTTTCTCTAGAGCTGCTGGCCCTTCTTGCTACAGCCCTTCCCCCCTTGCTTCTGTGAAATGGGGAGACAAAGCACTTTTGCTCTCCAAAGCACTTTTGGATACTCAGGAGGAAAGATAAGATACATGTGTGAAGTATTTAATCACAGGAGCAAAGAATTTGCAAAATAGGAAGTGACTTGGAATGACACATGTTGTAGCCTAACGTGCTACTGCATTTCTAAATCACCAATATTTGCTTGTCTTTGCCCCTAGATTCTAGACTATGTTAACTAGTTAAGGATGTCACATTTTGGACGGATGTATGTTAGATACATTACCTGTAGCAAGAAGTTCATTCTGTGCAATATGGATATGTTTGCAAACCATACCAAGGGTCCGGTTGTTGTACATTTACGTACATGTCAACCATAACAGAACATTCACAAATGCACCAGTTATACCAGGGATGTATAGTAAGTCAGGGAACTAATTTAAACGATGACAGTCATGGCTGCACTGCTACTTGTGTTGTCGTCTTGTTTGTTTTTCTATGATAATTTAAAATATAAAGGTAGGGCTACTTGAGGAAATGTGGAGAGCCACATTCTGTGGTTTCTCATTATGCTTACTTCCTGCATTTAGAAGGAGTTTATTTAAAAGAAAAATAAATGACAATCAAACCAAATCATCAGTTACCAACGTCTGTTTAATTGTGTGACTATCTGACAGTTGATGGCCACAGATGATGGTCCGCTGTGGTATAGTTGACGCTGTAGAAGATGTGTGCATAGTGGAATGCCAGCCCTTTAAAGAAACATGAGTTAGTGTAAAATGAATCTTTATATGTTGTAGTAACATTGACTACATTTCAAAACTCAGATGCATAAAATGTATGGTATATAAAAACAGATCTATGCTTGTATTTGAAACTAGAACTTGATAACCCCTAGAAAGAAGAGGACGTGAAAGGATGCTGGCTATATATGTTAATCAGAAAAAGGATTATAGTTGTTTTGTTTTCAGAAACAGGGTCTCACTATATTGCTTAGGCTGGTCTTGTACTCCTGGGCTCAAACGATCCTCCGGCCTCTGCCTCCCAAATTGCTAGGATTAACAGGTGTGAGCCACCATGCCTGGCCTATAATTGTATTTTTTTAGGACACTTAGAAAAATATGTCATGTATTTTACATTTTGAGAAACAAATCATGGTTTCTTCTGGCATTGCAAAAACGCTGACCTACCTTCTGGGTATGGAAATAGACCTGTGGTGACATGTTAATTTAAATGTTGTGGGGGAATAGTCCCAATAAAGGTCTTAAAAGTCACATTACAACTAACGTACTGGCGCTACCATTTATTCTTCTGGTATTTGTAATGAAGTGAATCCACTGTTTAATCAGATCCATAATCTTTAACAGATTCACCACAAATTTTTGTGGGCGTTAAGTGCTCAGAATAATGCTTGAATGTTTCACCTTGAAACTGTAGCAGTGTAGCTGTAACTGTGAAATAGAGTCTGGAATAGGTTATCTGCTCCATCTCTCGAGGTTGTCTTAGTCCTGTGATGACCTGATACATCTGTTTGACTGGGCTACAATCCATTGTTGCTAGTCCAATATGGACACTGCCTTAGGCAATGGTCTATATAAGCAAAAGGAGATAGACATCTGAAATAATTTTCTGAGTAATTTAGGTGGAAAACAAGACAGAGTGTATTTCTCTGCTTTCATTATTCAAATTGCTTGTCAAAATGGCCCAAATGATCCGAATTCACATTGTTCTTGCACACTTACCCATTTAAAAAATGAAACTTGTACTGCAACTGAGAAATTATTTGGAAATCATGTGGAATCTAGGTATAATAACAGAAACAGACAACTATATTACTCAATTTCACATACATCCAAAAATTATAGACTAATATTATATATAACCTCAAGTTGTGGCTGGTTCTTTCTGATCTAAGCTGATGCTTATTAGAACAAATGATGCATAGGGAGAGGAGAAGGAAGGAAGGGCAAGGAAGGAATTGACAGGTAAGAAGCAATGCTTTCTTGTACAGAGGAATTTTTTTTTTTTTTTTTTTTTGAGACGGAGTCTTGCTCTGTCTCCAGGCTGGAGTGCAATGGCGCAATCTCAGCTCACTGCAACCTCTGCCTCCTGGGTTCAAGTGATTCTTCCGCCTTAGCCTGCCGAGTAGCTAGGACCACAGGTGCGTGCCACCACCCCTGGCTAATTTTTTCGTATTTTTAGTAGAGATGGGGTTTCACCGTATTGGCCAGGATGGTCTTAATCTCTTGACCTTGTGATCCGCCCGCCTCGGCCTCCCAAAATGCTGGGATTACAGGCATGAGCCACCGCGCCTGGCAGGAATTTTTTTTTTTTTTTAATGTAGAAAGTTATTTGAAATGAACTAGGTGAAAAGAAATTAACTAAATGATGTAATCTGGGATTGAAAGTCTGAAACCATTTCCTTCTTCCACAAGTGTGCCACATCAATCTGATAATGCCCCAGTGTTATTCATAGATAGAACTTTGTTTCCTGTGATTTTAAAATACCGCATCTATTCCTCCATGGACTAGAGTAATTGGCACATTTTAATGCATAAGCTGGGGGTTTCATTTTCCCAGGCTCTCTTCACCATCACTGCATTGGTAGCTAGGAGCTTATTGCTCACCCCAGTATGGAGTTCAGATTACAGTGTTTTCCATTACATTTAGATTCATAGAATCTGAATGGCTGATTAAATGGCCATCTGATGGCTGAAAGAGGGGGATATTTTTCACTCTGTAGTGAAAGACTTGGAGGAGTTTCTACTTTTTATTTTAATTATACTTTAACCAAAGAATTATTTTAAAATAACCTTATATTTGAAAGATGATTTTGCAAAAAATAAAAAATAAAAAATATGTCTTCCGGAGTGACGTCTGTTTGGTAAATAATTGTTGATAATTTTCTTGTTAGTGGTATTTGGAATGCATATAGATTGTCTTCTCAGTGTGCTTAGCATTACCATAAATGTATCTTTTCCACTCAACTAGCTGTATTCGTATTAAAATGAAGTCTCTTATTTCAATTATCTAGTGTCATTGGGAACTAATTGAACAGCTACAGTAAAAGTTCCTATCTCATTGCCTTTGTGGAAAGGCCTCCCTGTGTGGTAAAAGGAAGGCATTCCTCCCTAACCTAGGCACTCTGCAAGTCCAGTGTTTAATTTCAAAGCAGTGATGAATTGCTGTTTTGAAATTATTCTAAGTAATCCTTGTGTTAGAATACAGATGAACCTCCGTTTGATTTCACAGGCTTCAGCACAGACAACTGTTACTGAATCTGCACGGACTTAGATAATGAGGTGCAGGGTTATTTGCATTTAAATTGTAATCCAGCACACGTGTGAGAAAGAAGAGGCGCTAGTCTAACGAGGTTGCCTTGTGGGGAGAGATGAGATCGGCGGAGGAGGGTAGGGAAAAGAGCAATTTAACATCTATTTAGGTTAATGTTCACTTTACAAAGGTGATGGAGGATATTTTGTTAGGTGATGGCAGATGCTTTTCATTTTTAAACATAGGATTAAAATTGGATTTGCTTCTCTTTAATACTTTAACATATTGAATTTTCCTGGGAAAGTGACTAGCTATAATGAAAATCCAAGGGAAGGGGGAAAAAGATTATAAATGTAGATGAAATAACTTCATTTTAAAAAACAAATAATCGTAGGTTTGGTGTATGTAGGTTTAAAATTATAGTGATGAGTAGGCAAACAATATACAATCAGTTCTTGCAAATATTTTACACTTAGCTGTCATTACTCACACAACAAATTGGAATTTTGCAGCTGTTCATCTATCACGGACTCTGTACAGGATAGATGTGTATAATGGAAAATATGTACTGCTTCTTTCTCTGATTGTCACTCAAGATGCAAACACATTGCCAAGGCATTTTGGTTACACACAGATCATTCTAAACCTGTTATCCTGGAGAGGTATATTGGTTTCTTTCTCATTTATAAGGCTATTGTATTTTTTTTCTATGTGATTCAGGTGTATTTATTTGAAGAATATTTGTAATTATAGGAAAACCACACCTACATGTATTGCCAAATTCTTTGTAAACTCTCCGTGGCATTTGTGCTTTCCTGGCTGAGAGCTCTCCCCTGTTGATACAGCTATGGCACCATTGTAATTACAGATGCACCTTTCAGGAGCATCTCCATTAAATGGTTCATAGATGATTTAATAAAAAGAAACTGTTCTTAGTTGATCCAGAGCAATGTCATTTTAAATTCCGAGTGGTCTCTTCCTGTCGTGTTTTCAGATGTTACTTTGTCATTATTATTTCGTAAGTGTGCATGAAGAGTGTGATTCTGCTTTCGATTGGCCAGGGGGCGCTTGCTGCTGATGGAAGGGGAGGGTGCTCCAGCAGTACTGTGTGTATCTGGATGCTTCTGACTAGGCCTCAAGTCCCCATGCCATTCAGACTGGGGAGCTGAACACCCACCCATGTGTGAAAAAAACAAGCTCCAAAATGCTTCCCCTGCCCTATGTACAAACTATGGGGACACAAAATATCTTTCCTTCTACCTATCCTAGGTTGAGGGCTGAGGCTCCTATAACAAAAGATTAAAAAAGAAAAAGCATACAAGTTTTTCATGTCTTGTGGCCGAGGGAAAGCTTCCCCTTTGCCCTCTAAGTTTCACTGAAAATCACTGACAAAAGGCAGATTAATAGAAAAGGCATATAAATTTATTACCTACATGAACATGCGGAGTGAGTGCCCAATTTCCCAATGGGGTACAGACACTTACATACCCTACATCTTAGGGGAAAGCAAATGGGGAAGTGTGGATGTAGGCAGATAGTAGATGATTTTTAAAGAAATTCAATGGACTTGAAGAGCATACAATGGTCTGGGACAAAGTCGCTTGGGCCCACACAGTGGACAGTCATTTGGGACAAAAGTCTGTCCAGATTTGTTGGCAGACTTTAGTCTTCCTGACTGTGATGTGAGTTCGGTCAATGAAAACGCCAAGAAGGGACCAGAAATAATTGTTTCCTACTTTGGGACAGGTAGAGGACTGAGAGGGAATAGGGGAAGGAAAAGCAATTGTCCTCCTTGGTGGGTCTGTCCAGTCTTTATGTAGATAGGGGAAAGGTCTCTTCTAGCATCTGTTGATCTCTGAGGGCCTTTAATTCAAAATACTCAGCTGCGTGTGGTGGCTCACACCTGCAATCCAGTACTCTTGGAGGCCAGAGTGGGAGAATCGCCTGAGCCCAGGAGTTTGAGATCAGCCTAGGCAACATAACAAAACCCTGTCACTACAAAAAAATAAAAAAACTAGCTAGGCGTGGTGGTGCGCATGTGTGGTCCCAGCTAATCAGAAGGCTGAGGTGGGAGGATCGCCTGAGCCCAGGAGTTTGAGATCAGCCTAGGCAACATAACAAGACCCTGTCACTACAAAAAAATAAAAAATCTAGCTAGGCGTGGTGGTGCACATGTGTGGTCCCAGCTAATCAGAAGGCTGAGGTGGGAGGATCGTTTGAGCCCAGGAGTTCTAGGTGGCAGTGAGCCATGATCGTGCCACTGTACTCCAGCCTGGGCAACAGAGTGAGACTCCAACAAACAAAAGCCCAGGATACTCGTTATATCAGGGAGCCATATTTGGGGGTGAAGTTCCCTGTGTTCCTTCACATGACACTAAAGCCTTCATAAGGAAATGAAGATTTGAAGAAAACCAGTTAAACCTGAGTATTTTAATGCAAAATTTGATGAAGAGAAGACAGTCATGGAGAAATATGATAGAGGTAAGAGCGTGATCTTGTGGTAATAAATAGACTTAATGAGGTCTGTGTGTTCAGATTCCCCTGTGTGTCCCTCTGTCTTCAGAGAAGAGGCTGCTAGTTTTCTCTGGATCTAGGGAAGGCACCTTTCACATGAAGTTCCCATGACCTGCATCAGGGAAGATTATAGTTCTTCCTAGGTTTTATCTCCTGATTCAGGGGAGAAGGGTGGTGCAGGGGGAATGGCCAAAGTGACCCTCCTGCTTGTTTTTTCACATGCTTCATCTTAAACGATTCAATATATTGTTTTCTCACATTCCTTCATCTTAAAACTATTCAGTATCGTGCCCTGAACTCCATGGCGCCTCCATGGCTTACTGGCTTACTACTACCCAACATCCACCTCAAGGAGATACACCAAGAATGATCCAAAGAGTGAGAATCTGGGTAAGAGAGAGGGCACATTCAGCTTGAAGTAGGATCTGCACTTCTAAAAGCCACAGACCCAGTTTTTTTGAGACGAAGTTTTGCTCCTGGTTTCAAGCGATTCTCCTGACTCAGCCTCCTGAGTAGCTGGTGCCCGCCACCACACCTTTTTTTGGTTGTTGTATTTTTAGTAAAGACGGGGTTTCACTATGTAGGCCAGGCTGGTCTCAAACTCCTGACCTGAGGTGATCCACCCGCCTCAGCCTCCCAAAGTGCTGGGATTATAGGTGTGAGCCACCACACCTGGCTGACCCCATTTTTTGAAGTAATTATATGTTAGGCTACTAAGATCTTAAAATAAGCCTTGAATGCAAATTTGTGCCCAGGACATGAATACAGATTTTCATTAACACAATGTCTACTACCTTGGCAGGGTTTGCTTCCTGAGAAAATGTAACAGCTAAATGTTCATATCCGACAAAAGACCAGGCTATATTTAGCCTTCTGGCTGTTTCTCAGCCGTTCTCTGCTTGATAGATTCCCAAACCCATTCTGCTCTTTTGTGATGTATGTAAAGGCTGCTTGCACATCCAGAGAAAATGAATCAGTGTACTTGGGATTTGTTTAAGCTTAAATCAGCAAAATGTCTGTTTAGAATTTTTTGTTTCTGGGAGTCTATTTGAAAGTTGTTTGAGGACCAAAAACAATCTTCTTCCTGAAGAAAGAAAATATTTCACAGTGCCAGAAATAAACATGTAAACCCAGATGGCTTGGTTCTGGCTATGTAAAGAGGTAGGTGAAGGGGAATGTATCAAGGGAGCTGGGTGGAAGATCAAAGTGGTAAAAGGAAGGACAGATAGAAGTGGTAACTGGTAGAACAAGTTTTAGAGGAGCCAGTTTGGAAGTTTTCCAATGAATTTCTAGTTAGCAAAAAGGAAAAAAAAACGCCAGGCACTGTGGCTTATGACCATAATCCCAGCACTTTGGGAGGCCAAAGCAGGCAGATCCCCTGAAGTCAAAAGTTCGAGACCAGCCTGGCCAATATGGTGAAACCCCTTCTCCACTAAAAATACAAAAGTAGCCAGCGTGATGGTGCCTGCCTGCAATCCCAGCTACTCAGGAGGCTGAGGCAGGAGAATCGCTTGAACCTGAGAAGCAGAGGTTGCACTCCAGCCTGGGTGAGAAAACAAGACCCTGACTCAAAATAAAAAGTTGGGGGTGCGGGATAATTTGGCTAAGAAGTTCTCATGGGAGAAATAACATCCAAACAAGAGAGAAGCCTTAAAAATATATATTGTCTGGCTGGTCGCGGTGGCTCAAGCCTGTAATCCCAGCACTTTGGGAGGCCGAGGCAGGTGGATCATGAGGTCAAGAGATAGAGACCATCCTTGTCAACATGGTGAAACCCCATCTCTACTAAAAAAAATACAAAAAGTTAGCTGGGCATGGTGGTGCGTGCCTGTAACCCCAGCTACTCAGGAGGCTGAGGCAGGAGAATTGCCTGAACCCAGGAGGCAAACGCTGTGGTGAGCCGATTGCGCCATTGCACTCCAGCCTGGCTAACAAGAGTGAAACTCCATCTCAAAAATATATATACGCACACATATATATACATGTTACACGTATATATATATATATATATACACATATATATGTACATGTTTCACATATATATGTGAAACTGTCTCAAAAATATATATACACATATATATATACGTACATGTTTCACATATATATATGTGAAACTCCATCTCAAAAATATATATACACATATATATATGTACATGTATATATAGTCTGAATATCACCTTTTAATTAAGCTGACTTCTGAGCATAATGCTCTTTTTAAAAAATATATTTTAAGTATATTATTACCAGGTTTTACCTGGGCAAACAGCAAATATCCTCATCTCCTGGCTTTTCTATCCTTAGAGTGTGCATTTTAAGAGGGATGGTTTCTTAGGTAAGACGGGAGGAAATTGACAGGTACAGAGAAATACTGAAAGTTTTTAGAGGTTCAGGGTAATTAACAATCAGTTGTCTCCTATTGAGTGTAAAGCACCTTTTTTTTTTTTTTGAGACGGAGTTTTGCTCTTGTTACCCAGGCTGGAGTGCAATGGCGCGATCTAGGCTTACCGCAACCTACGCCTCCTGGGTTCAGGCAATTCTCCTGCCTCAGCCTCCTGAAGTACCTTTTTTTAATTCTTTTTTTTTTGTTTTAGACAGAGTTTCGCTCTTGGTGCCCAGGCTAAAGTGCAATAGTGTGATCTCGGCTCACCGCAACCTCCGCCTCCTGGGTTCCAGCAATTTTCCTGCCTCAACCTCCTGAGTAGCTAGGATTACAGGCATGCGCCACCACACCCAGATAATTCTGTATTTTTAGTACGAATGGGGTTTCTCCATGTTGGTCAGGCTGGTCTTGAACTCCCGACCTCAGTTGATCCACCTGCCTCGGCCTCCCAAAGTACTGGGATTACAGTCGTGAACCACTGTGCCTGGCCTAAAGTACCTTTATAGCTCAAATGAGAAGGCAGAAAGCAAACCAACAAAACAAAACAAAAAAACATGTTTTTAACATGCTCTGAATATAAAGCAAAATTTTAAACCAAAGGTATATTCAACAAGTGACTCAAGACTCAACTAATAACCCCCTTTATGGCTTTAATCAGTGTGACCCCTCCAAGATCCAGACTATTCTCACAGGACAGCCAAAGAAAGGAAAGCTTAGCTAGCCACAAATGGATGTAAACCCACATTTTAGTTCAGCTATGTATTTGAGGCTCCTAGCCTTTTTGTTCGGCTAGGTGCAGCAAAGAGAGGTGGGATAACTTACATGCCCCTGATAAATGGAGAATCAAAAAGAGAGAATAGTCAGTAAGAAAAAACAGGAAAACAAAAGTTCTCCACAGCAGTGAAACCACCTTTGCAAATATTATGACTGAGAAAATTATTGCAGTAAAAGAGATCTGACCTAACCAATTTGTCTGGCTTCTAATCTCCAAGCTGTCCTTGTTCATTCCCGGGTCAAGCTAACTTTGGGCAGAACTTAGTTTATAG